CTGGCCACTCACAAGCGCACACCATAAACGCACACACACTAAAAATCTTGGTGTCCTGCAGGTATTTTTCCTCTGAATCAGGAACAGATTTTTCTTTAAATCACTGGGAAATACCCTGATCTCAATTCCCTGTAACACCTGGTAGGATCAGAAACTTTAACAGATATGTAACAAGTCTTGGCTGGTGAAACAGTTGAAGTTCCTGATGGTTTAGCATTTTCCCAGCCAATTAAACTGTCAGAACAGTGTCTTTCCCTTCTTTTCCTTATGTTTGTGTCCTTTTCATTAAAAATAAAAACTTAATAAAATTGCTGTTATATAATGTAAAGCCTGAGAAACAGTTCTCATCACGTAATCGTGTAATCATTTACGCTATATTTAGGCATCTGTTGTCCCCATGGGGATTAGCCACTTAAACAATGTCCTGTAAGTTTGAAGAAGATACCACAAAGTCACGTCGTGCTTTCCTGGCTTTCGCGTTGTTTTCTTGTTCGGTCCATCTGGTGCTGCTGGTGTTGATCTCCTGTCGGGGTGCAACAGACCAGAGAGGAGCATATCACATGATCATAGTGTTAAAGCACAGAGGGATGTCCAGACTAAATTAGCCGATCAGAGGGTATCAGCTTGCAGCATCTCTGCAGGAAACTGCTTAATACTGTAACACTGCAGGTTGTGTTTCTGCCAGCCTGTCTGGACTGCCTTGGCTGTATGTGAGTGCATGTGCTGTGCAAATAGGGCAGGCATACTTAGTGCTGTCACCTTATGCAGGGATGTGTATACGTGGCTTCTTTCAAGTTGTCAGATAGGCTAAGGGAACACAGTAAGATTACAATGCAGGGATTAGAGGGTGAGAAGTCCTTATGTTAAAAAGACCTGTACGTGTGTGTGTGTGTGAGTGTCAGATAAGAGGCTGCTGATTCCAGCGTGGAGGCGTGTCTCGCTTAAATGCGCGTGTATGAGAATGAGAGAGAGAGATGTGGGTTTGAATGAAAAGTGAGGATATTTTTGAGTCTGGCAAACTCGAGTCTCATGATGTTTTGAAGCATGGAGAGAAAAGAAGGGATAAAGAGAGAGAGGGAGAGAGAAAACATCCATCCCCAACAACGTGACTAATGTGTCCCGGATCAAATTTATTCCTTAAATACCCGCATCCTACCACCAGCTTTGTTTTATTTTAAACGTGCTCTTCTTTTAGATATAAATCCACTGTCTCTGAGTAGAGTGCTGGAGCCACTACTACTATGTGCATCAGAGATGTGTGTGTGTGTGTGTGTCCATTTATACACTAGAACGAAGAAGGAAACATTAATAATGGATTAGCAGCCCCATTAGACTTGCTGTCTGCTTTCTCAGGCCCATGTCTGCGGACACAAATGCGCACACATGCACTTGTGTTTTCATTACTTGAGAGAACATCGTGTTGACTTGGATGCATTTCCTGCAGACTAACTGTAACAATAACCATAGCGCCCTAAACCTGACCTTGAACCAAATCTTCACCTTATGCAGCACATGTTACATGTAACACACTTGCTTATAATCTGACTGTTTTTGCACATTTACTCGTGAGAAATGCGAGTACACACACAGTGAGTGCATGAATGAGTGATTAAGTCAACGACTGAGTAAATCTTCTAATGCCCAGAGGGAGGTGTCTTAGCAGAGATATGAGTGGTCAGGGTCTTTTCTAAGTGCTGCTGGGAAATGGAATGCTGGCTTCCAGGCAGTCAGGTGACCTACAGCCATGGTGAGCGTGGAGTCATGTGATCATAATAGGAAAGAGATAATAGAAGAGCGAGGGGGTACAGTCAGCACTCACATGGATGTTTTGTGTGTCGATTGCTAATGGGCTATCGCTGGGCGAATGGTTGCTGCAGGATAAAGGGATAAGATGTTACAGGCCATAAAACACTCACACCCTCCCTGACACACATTAATGCACTTCAGAAACACACTAAACCTTTCCGACACCCCCCTCTCCTCTCTCTCTCTCACTCTCGAAGTCATATGATATAGATGAGGCCCTGGGTTATACAATATGACAGTATGAGATCATCACCTCAGAGATTGTCCTAATCTCTGAAGGAGCTCACAAGATTTTCTAATAGCTTTATAACATTTCCGAACGCTTGCTCATTGTGACCGAGCAGCGGCGAACTGTTTGAGCGGCTGTTTGTTTGTCAAAGCTGGTGGTCTAAACGGTGATAGTTTTTTTTATTTCTTTATGAAAAATATTCCCATGTACACACAATTTAACTGACTTCAGAACCTCAATCATTATAAAATAAATTACTACTCAAACTGGGGGTTTAGTAGTCGTGTTATTGAGAAATTCATTTAAGAACCTGAAGGTACCGCAAGTGGAGATTTATTCTTTTAGAAACACACAAAAGGAACGAAGAAAATTCCCCCTCACATTTACACACAAGTGCTTGAAATGATCAAATATTGCATAAAAGGTATTTTTATGGTGATTTAACATCATAAAATCTAAATTAGTTTATCTAAAATACCATACAGCACTTCTTTTTCTACTTATTGGATTTAAAAGTTTCCATCTGTCCACTTAAATTTTCAGGAATTTTTCCGGTGCGCCACTGTGTCCAAGGTTTTTTGGGGTGGTTTATGGGGCTGTTATCAAATCAGACTGTGTACTGGAGCTTTAAAACCATTTGAATGATTGATGGCAAGTGTCTCGTCTGTCTCAGATGATTTTGCTAATGCACTGGATGTTTTGTGTTGGGTCGGATTCATATTCAAATAGAGTACTAAAATAAAACAATACAAAGCTTAAAAGAAGAAGAAGAGCAGATTAACAGCATTTTATGAAAGACAGCGTTGATGTTTTGGACTGAAAAAATAAAAGAGTTGAATGATGTGCCCTCATTGGACCTCTTTTTAAAAAGTGGTTGCCTTGGCGATAATCCCTGTAACATTATGGGAGTAGGTGTCTAAGCTCTGAAGTCTATAGCCTCTAAACCACTGCCTTCTCTTATATTTTTAGACTGTATACTGTTGTGTCTGCACCTCGATGGAGACGCAGCCCTGTGTGTCAATCCTGCTGCTCTTTCTGTGCTCATCTGTAAACCAATCTGTCAGTTCACTTTCCCATAATTTCATCCTCTAAAAGGGTCACCGACGTTATGAAACGACCTGGATGTGTCACGACTTCCTGTCAAAGCACGCATTTCTTTTTGTCCCACGTTAATTGGAGCACCTCTTTCATATTTGTTTTAATCCTTTTCCCAAATCTGGCTCAACTTGCTTGTAACTGCCAGACTTAATAATTTAGAGAAATTTTGACTTTTTTTTGGGCCTAAATCCTGTGAGTACTGAGGTGTTGTCACCTTATTTTATCGTCGTCAGGCAGCCGTGATTTTGTTTATTTTTGGGGAGCGATGTGCTGAATGTGTCAAATATGGTTCGACACAGAGCTGGTGAAGAGCGGTTCAAAACACATGCAGACAAAAGCAAATAATCACACAGATATTAAGCTTACCATTAGACATTCCCACTAAAATTGATAAACAAGCCTAGCACAATTTACTAAATAATATACTCCTTTAAATTGCAACAATTTAGTTTAGTTTTATTTTGTGAATATGGATTTGGCACTTTCTGTGGTGAGGTGAAAACCCTAGCAGTCAGACGATCCTCTATGAGCAATGAGTTGGTGACAGTGGGGTGGAAGAACTCCCCCTTTAACAGGAAGTGACCTCCAGGATGACAGGAAGAGCCCAAAGAAGACAATAACAACAAAAAGACAGCACAGAGTGATCGTTCACTTGTTTATTAGTAGGATTTTCCTGACATATTTGTCAGTGTACAAACGCACAAACGCGGGCATGCTGAAAATTTTTTACAGCAGGTCCCCTGCTAACATTGACTTTTGCATTTTTATTGAGGTATCAGTGGTTGAGCTGGAATTCCTGTTAAAATGTGTGGAGGATGTTTCTGAGAAGCCAGTATTCCACAGGAGGGAGGAATGCAGACTGTGGCTTTTTTTTTTTTCTCAGCTTGTTTTGGTCAACCTCCTACTGGGAGGCTGCTACCACTTCAGGTAAAGACAGCTGAAGCTTGGTGCAAGCGCTGGAGACTGCAATTCCCATTGAGAATAACAATAATGACGTAGGTGGTGGAAGCCGAGGATTTGATGTGTGTTCATTATCAAGAAGCCATTTACTGCAGCAGTTGAGTCCATTTTCACTTAGATAGCGATCGGGGGGGGGTTAGCGTCTTATGATTTTCTGGTTCTGGATTTTCAGACAATGAACTTCTCTTTAAATCATCCTCTAACCCTAACAGTTTTATATTTCCCAATAAAATAGTCACCCGAGTAGCTTGTCAATTGGTTGAACACTGACTAATTTTGTAAATGTAGGACTGCTGGCAAAATTTCATGAACACATAAATGCAACACAGGTGTGAATATTAGCCTTTGGTTTGAAACAGAGTGCTTCACCAATAAATATCGCACAGCTCAGGTCAAAAGAAGATCGAGTGTAGAGCTGTTCGTCACTCTGTCTAATGGATTTTTGTGGAGTCTTTGAGTTAAGATGAAAGGACACTTCTCTTTTATCCCTGTCCTTTACTAGTGTAATGCAGAAAGGTTTTCGGATAGTATCAGGTTTCCCCCCCGTTTCATCTGCACTTGTATTTCAGTACAGTATGTTCAGCTGCTGTTCATCAGTGTAAAAGATTATTGTTATCAGTTTCTCTGAGCTTATATGGAGTCATGTTTCATAGGAATTGTCATTCTCCTCCCCTCCCATTTTCGTTTCTGCGTAATCTCTTTGTTCTCTTCTGATTAGCTCTCCTCTCCAGCCCTCGAGCCTCTTCCCGACTTGATTTGATTGTAATTGCACATGCTGTAATAATGTTGTACTACTGACACAGCATTAATTTAGGAAAAACATTCCCTCCCTTCTCATTCACGTTGTAACGTTTCTCTCGGTTTTTGTGTACACGTGACCAAGTTTCCCTTTCTGTCCCGTTTGCAGGATCGTAAACTGTCCAAGTCCGAGCGTCAGCGGTTCAAAGAGGAGGCCGGCATGCTGAAGGGTCTCCAGCATCCTAACATTGTCCGCTTCTATGACTCCTGGGAGGGTCCCTGCAAAGGAAAGAAATGCATTGTTCTCGTCACTGAGCTCATGACATCTGGCACGCTAAAAACGTGAGTATATGAGGGATAGAATTTATTTTCCAACATGTTAATTTGCTGACTTTTAAGATTAAGAAGCTGTGCAGGAATCTTCTGAGAAGCCAGATATTAGGACACCAGACCCATGTGCATGAACTGAAAACTATAGCTGTGACTGAAAGGTGTGAACTGCGTGATGTTAACACCCACACTTACAGTAGAGTCCATTCTGACATTTTTCTCTTGAAGAGCACTGTCAGCACAGATGATGACTCACCTCCAGTCTTTCATTGAAATGTAAAACACACACGTGTCGTCCTCTTTGCTATTAAACTGATCTGCAGTCTTTCTCTCTTTTCATATGTTCAAATGGCCTTTCACAGTACTGTTAAAAGCACCTCACATCCTGATGTTTCAGTGCTGATTGCAGCTGTGAGTCAGCCAGCCTGCCTGTGTTAAGTACGGTATTTATGTCACTTACATCACCACAAAGGGTGAAATGACGCAGAATCATCAAAACTTTGATGCAGTTTTTGAGTTTTTATTTATTTATCTTTTTGGACACCAAACAGTTGAATAAAACTGCTGCGGTCCCATTCGTGTCACCGAAAATGTCTCGATCTTATCAGGGCAAAAGACATGACACATGTTGGGATCCTGTGAGGTTGCACTTTCAGCCTGGGGGCCTCTGTGAGTCTGATTGGGATTTGAGAAGTTTGAGGGTGTGTCAACACTGTTATGTTCATCAACGTGTTTGGAGTAATTTTCAGCGTACATATGTGACAAACTGTACGTCGATGGCCTGCCAGCTCAACGGGCAGTTGTCAGTGTCTGCCTCTCAGACTGTCACCCCACATGCCGTGACTGAATGCCAGCCTCTTTGCCGATTAGAATAGATGTGCATCTGTGTTTGTCAATGCTATTGTTGAGCTCCTGACACAACAGAAGGCTAAACGTGGGGTGACACAGCCTGCGTCACACAGTACATCATGCGACACTGGCCCACCTGCCAGCTGCTGCTTCTGCTGCACATTCCTCTCATTCCCGACATCATTCAGGAGTGACACTGGTCATCGTCCACTTAGTTTAGGTTAAAGTGACAGAGAGGGAGACAGAAGACTACAGTGTGAGAGAGTTATGCGCAAATATTCTGATGAATAGACAAACGGATACTTAGACGTACAGTTTGAAAGCCGCTCGGTAGAGTGACAAACCTGTGAGCAAAGCACTAACAGCACTAACAAGGACCGTAGCGCCCTCCACTGGAGGACTACAAAAATTTCATACTTTTTTTTTTTTAACAGAGAAGCTGCGCAGACACGCTCAGTCCTCTGCATACACCACAGAATAAACACACATTTAGCAAATATAGTTTTCTATTTTCCAACTTTTTTTGGAACTCCCCACTACCTACTGAGTGAGAAAGGAAAAAAGAGAGAGAAGACGAGCTGTATCCTTTTTCTTCTTTTTGAATTTTACATGATTAAATTAAATATTCAGAAAAGACCTCAGTCAGAAAATCCAAAAAACTGCTTGGATCCAGAAGTGTGTGCCAAACAACTATAATATACTCAAAGTAGTAACAAGCAGTGCATTGAACTCTTATAGATACATGATGCATACGTGATATCAGGATTGCAATTCTGGTTACTTTTATTTTCCATTAATGTGTTTTTATGCACATATTGAAACAAAGACGCAACATCGTGTTTACCAGAAGACACTCCCATTTGAAAAACTGGAACCAGTGAGGGGAAAAAAATACTTGCAAAAGAATAATTTCATATCAAAATTGTTGCTGATTAACTTTTTGTTGATCGACACAACAAGGTTTCTTTGTTTAAGACTATATGGAGCGGATGGATGTGCCCTTATGAAGAGGATCAAGGCATCCGAGGGGTTTGGCCGTCATCCAGAAAAATACTCAGAAAGGAGACGGACCGCTGCACGCTGAAGAGATGGAAAAAGAAAGGGAGATGATGGGAGGGTGGGGGCGATAGGGGAGGAAGATAGGATGGAAATACTTGCCACCATGGAGTGCCCTTATCTGTGTGCATCTGTGTGTGTAAGAAATGTTTATACTGCTGTCATCTTTCTGTTTTGTAAAGGTTTATTTTCGGAAGAATACTTGTCTGTTCACAAATAATAAAAACTGTATTCACTGCTCGTGAGAGCCGCACGTTCATGTATCTACAAGTGCTAATTTGCGTGCTTGGAAACATAGCGTGGCTGAGTGAGTGTGCAAGCTCGATCGATGCTTTGTTGCGGCGTCACTCTGCATGCCACAGCATTTTCCCTGTCTTTCAACGCTGTTCTGACTTCAGAACGACAAAAGAAAGAAAGCAGAAGGGATGGGCGAGGAGGGGACTTAGGTAAGGGGGAAGAAGAGGATAAGGCGTGTGGCTTCTTAAGAGAGACATCAGAGGTAGCAGGAGAGATGCGGTATGATAGAGAGAACTTAAGTTATTCACATGCACATTTTAAGGTTTGTTCACTTTAATAGTCCCTAAAATGATTATTTATGCTCTGCACACTGAAAGCCATCTCCCTGTGAAAAACAAATTGAATTTACCCAGATTTTTAAGGCTTTTAATGACAAACCATAGAAAAGCGGTTAGAGGATTAAAATAAGAGGCATATAGAAGACTTTGATTGTTAAAAATTAGGGTAAAGACTTTACTATATAGCAGAATAGCTGAATTAAAGTTGTTTTTTAATAATTAGCCATCTATCTGTTCACCCATCTATCCGGTTCACAGGGGGGTGGAGTCTATCCCAGCTGTCGTGAGACAGGATGCACCTTGGGAAGATTTAGTCAGTCTATCAAAGGGCTAACATAGGAGAGACAGACAAAGATTCACACTCATATTCACACCTACAGCCAATTTATAAGCACATATGTAACCAGCATGTCTTTGGACTGTGGGAGGAAGCTGGAGAACCTGAAGGGAATCCACACAAGCACAGGGAGAACATGCAAACTCCACAAAGAAAGGCCCCAGGCAGCCTCAGGAATGCATGCAGGATTTTAGAAAGAAGTATAGGATGCAAATATCCAGTGTTTTTCTCTGGGAAGAAGTTGAGTAGAGGTATAAAGTGGCACCAAATGGAAATGTTCAGTTAAGCCCAGCACTCAGTGAGTGTACTTTCCATTGCTCGTTAATGGATGCTTTCTGCTCCGTCAAAGATACTGGGTCACAGCTAAAAGTTGTTGAGCCTCTGTGGCTGTAACACAGCAGTCTGGATGTGGCTTAAGCACACCGCTCTATTATGGTGTAATGCTCACACGGTGTTATGTGAGAATTACTTGTCAGTTAGGACAGAGTTGCAGGTGCTGAATTATTAGAGCAGCCAGTGACACCGTGGAGCTGACGGTAATGCTGGAGTCAGACTTATTGATGTCGCTCTGCATCGGGTCAGCTGTCTGGAAGCGGAGCTGGAAGAGGGCATTGCTGGCTGAGACAGAAACATTGTTTGCAGAGTCAGTCTATAGTTCAGTCAGCTGCCTGCTATTCACCAGATCCATGGGGACATTTCTGAGCTAAGCTTGGATATTGAATTAAATACACTAATTAGATCAAAGCCACGATTACTTAGCTCCTCTGCCTGCTTTAAGGCTGTGAAATTAGCACACCATGAAGAAGACTCACGGGGCGGTTGATCTCAGGAGTACGCCCTACCTACTGTGCTCATTGGTCACATTTGGCACAATACCAAGAAGAGGAAGACGCACATTTCTCTGTAGAGTTGAATTGATTTTCAGTCAGCTAATCAAGACAGACAAATGTTTTCTGAGTGAGTTCTTAGAGCTCTTGGAAATAACAAGAACTGCCTCTGATTTAATCAAAAACAAAATCAATCAAGTGCAGTGCTTTGCTAAGAATAGGAGAAATGTTCAGTCTAGATTCACAGTACTTTGCTGTTTTGTTGTAACATTCCTGTGGAATTTCCTCTCATTTTCCTCGCACATTCCAAAGACTTACAAACCAGGTGGATCGACTCAATCCCCCACAGGTGTGGATCTGAGTTGGATCTATGATGGCCTGGCAACCTGTCAAAGGGTGTTTCCCTGCTTTCCGCAGGGTGTTCACTGGGATGTGTTCCAAGTTTAGTGAAGAGAGAGAAAAAAGAACTGATGCAGAAGTAGATCTGGCTGAATTATAAGCAACGTAAGATACAATCCCGATTCATAGAAGCCGGTGCAGGCACATGTTGCATGTATGGGACAGTAGTCGAAACCTTTTGATTGCTGTGTACAGTTGCCTTCGGAGAAAACAAGTAAATAACAATCTGCTGAATAAAGACAGAGATTATCAGTGCTGGCTGCTCATTGACTCTACAGATGCTTTCAGACATTTCTGTGCAGCACTACATGTTTCTGCTTTTTTACTCCCTTATTCGGTCCTTGCATAGCTGTGTCTTTCATAGTTTTTTATGCAGAGTAGAGCAGCTGCATTAAAAAAAGTGATTTTCTGTAGCTTTTGGTTTTACACAGTGTGATATTCTGAGAGGCCATATGCTGGCAGCTAGCGTGCCGGGACAAAGGCCACTTGAACAAGATACAAGAGCTGAATCTCCTCCTGTGTGCATAATCATGACCACTTTCTCTTGCTTTGCAAAACACACAGTTTCTTATGTGAGATTTCTTTGTCCTGCAGCTACCTGAAGCGATTCAAGGTGATGAAAATCAAAGTTCTGCGTTCATGGTGCAGACAGATCCTGAAAGGCCTTCACTTCCTGCACACCAGAGCGCCACCCATCATTCACAGAGACCTGAAATGCGACAACATCTTTATCACAGGGCCCACGGGCTCGGTGAAGATAGGGGACCTGGGGTTGGCCACGCTGAAGAGAGCCTCTTTTGCCAAGAGCGTCATAGGTAGGACGGTGCATACGCAGCATCCCAAATTCTCAGAAATGCTAAGACACAAAAATGTGGTTTGCGAAGGCTGCGAAACTGAAATAACTGGGATCTTTTATTTGAGCTCGCTGCGGCGATAATAACCACTTTACATGCATAGGCACATTATGTACACGCCCACTGTAGATAAATTTTACTACTTGAAAAATGTCTGGTTGTTAAAGCGAACCGCAGGCATGTGAAAAGTGATACGGCTTCCGAAGAAACTGTTAGTAAGTTGGGATTCAGTTGTCTGGAAATGTAACCGTTACAAACACATAAACCGAAAGTGCACCGCACTCGGACAATGTTTATGACACATACTTTGAGTCTGCAGTTTTCCCTCGTAATAACCTGGGTACCTTTCAGTAGTTTTGTTGTACAGCTGACCACAGGTATTCAAGCTCTGCTCGCACCAAGTACGTAAATATACACTCTTCTCTGCACTTGAGACAAGAATGAGAAGCTCAGTAAATCTCACTGCTTCTTTGTAGCAATTAGGCAAACCTCAAGTATTCAGGCTTCACTTCCACAAACTGAGTCTGTGGCAGCACTAAGTGGATGCAGGTTTGAAATTTTAGCCCTTTTATTTCCAGCTGGAGTTTATTAGATTTCAATCTCTGATTTTATGTTTTATCATTTTTACAGTATTTGTACATCATGGTGTGCAAGTTAGGAGCATGTCCTAGCATAACATACATGTTTTTCTCCACTTTCTAATCACCAGGTACACCAGAGTTTATGGCTCCAGAGATGTATGAGGAAAAGTATGATGAATCTGTAGACGTCTATGCTTTTGGGATGTGTATGCTGGAGATGGCTACCTCAGAGTACCCCTACTCCGAATGCCAAAACGCTGCCCAGATCTACAGACGAGTTACTAGTGTAAGTATGCATTCTCTGCTCAGTCTGTACCTGCAGGTGCATCAGCTGAGAGTGGTAGGAAACCAGTTGGTCCCATTTATGTTGTATCCAACAGTCTCGTTTGTTGTTTTTGCCTCTTGTCTCTATTTTCCGCTGTGAGCCACTCCTCCTCACCCTTGTTTACTGACTGTATTAACAAGTTTGGCATGAGCTGCAGAAGATCCAGTCATATGATTGTGTTTTTGCCCTGATTAGTCTTATGCTTTTGCTTATGCTCTCTCCCTCTCACACTACATTGCAGTTTGTCTTGCGAAGGGATAAAAGCGAACGGAAAGCACTTTTCCCAAACGCAAATCTGAAATCGATAGTCAGTCTATAGTTATTTTAGACGAATTGACACTTATTGAGAAGCTTTTATTCCACTTAGTGTAATGCAGTATAATTAATTCAACTGTCCCATAAACACTAACGCTGTGAGCCGAGCTGGGGAGAGTACAGTTCACCTCCATAAATGTCAGCAAAAGCAGTGAGAGTGACACACTGCGCTGAAATGAAACAGTGCATGAGAATAACGTATTTTTATCGCCCGCCTGAGGGAATAGGCCACACCCCCAACGGGGAGGTAGTGGGAACACTGGTAGCACTCTGGGGCGTTTTTGAGGTTTCATTTAATCAATTGTCAGGTTTAAACAAAGGTTCTGTGTTTACTCTTTACTCTGTCCACTTCCAGGTAATATTGGAAGTGGACACAAAAGAGATTTTTAGTTGAAAATACAATGAATGACAAAAAAGTGATTTCTTTAGTCGGGGGGGAGCCCTAGGCCTCAAGGTCCTGCAGGTTTTAGATGTGGCCTTGATCCAACACAGCTGAAGTTCTCCAGAGGCCTGATAATGAACTAATCATTTGATTCAGGTGACCCAGGGTGAGATCTAAAACCTGCAGGACACCGGCCCTTGAGGCCTCGAGTTCCCCGCCCCTGCTTTAGTCTAATAAAAGATTAATTTGGTTTTGAAATGACAAATTTAAGAAGAAAAAATATTTCCAGTAATGAAATTTTCTGCGTAATGAAAGTAATAACATGGGTTTTATGTTGTCTGGTGAGTTTAGTTATTTGTTGAGTTATTGAAAATGTCTTCTGATTGCCACAAATTACATTTCAAAAAATGTACTGGCACAAACTCCTACTTTTTTCTTTTCTTCGTCTGGCATCATCCCATCCAGTCAGATTTTATAAGATTTCTCAGATTTGTTGATGTCTCTCCTTTTCTAAAATTTAGTTGACAGTTGGCTGGAGAGACAGACAATAAAGCAAATGCAGAGAGGACCAGATGCAGGCTGTTTTAAGCCTAGTGCTGCTGAGGTCATCACCCCAGCACACACACACACACACACACACACAGACACACACAGACAGACAGATGAGCGCTGTCTCCCTCTTTTCGTCACTCGACTCAGCTCTCTGGATGCTGACAGTGATGCTTAATAGACGTGAGGAATATTCTAGAAATCTCTTCTCATTTTCAAGATCTGAATGCAGGACAGAGGGGCCGAGTTCAAAACAAAAGCCCCGTCTTTGTCGTGGCTCATAAGTCCAAAACATAAATCTAAAACTGAGGCCAAAATGCAAAGTGCCAAAAATCCACAACACATGGGGGAAACAATACAACAGGACAATGAACAAATGAAACACATATTGCTAATTTATTCAAGGACACAGGGCGCACTGAGGGCTAATGAGAGGAAACAGGGGAAAGTAATTGAGCGTAACGAAACACAGGAGACAAAAGACTACCAAAATAAAATAGGTGACCTGCTACACCCAGATTTAAGATTCTGTCACACCTAAACTTGACACAGAAAGACACAAGAGGGATGTGGTAGAAGGATAACATAAAAATTTCCAGTGATGTTTACCAGAATGCTAATGTGTATAAACAGGAACTGGAGGAAAAAACCCAAATGGAATATTAAACAAACAAGAATCAGAGTCTTAAATTTAAAACCGTCGGTCCAGGACTCAGGAACATGACACTTTGTGTGTGTAATGATTCTTGAAAATGGAACATTTTTAATGCTGCTAAAGTATCAGTGCTAAACAAATAGGATGCTCAAACACTCTAGTTATTTTGGAATTCCAGGCTAACGGTGCATGTCGTTGAATTAAAAGAAGTTTATCATTTGTTACGGATGAGTGCAGGATCCTCTCCAGCTTAAACAACTGCTGCTGTTACCTGAGGAGAGTCGTGCTTTAAAAATTAATAACTTAATAGCCACACTAGGAGCTGATTGGCTCTTATCTTAATAACCCATGTGTTAAAACTCTAATTAATGTGCATTTAGATTCAATTTAAATGTTCATTTCAGCTTCTTTTAGTGTCCATCCATACAGTCCAGCCCATTCAAACTGAAGGGATTTGGATTAGGATTTCCTCCCTGTTTTTCTTCCTTCTTTCATCGTTCAGTCTTTGAATCTCTCGTTTTAATTTAAGAAGCTTCCTGGGCGGAATAAACTCAGACAGTATATTTCAGTCCACATGTCCGTCTGGCTCTCTGCCTCTCTTACCTTCCTGTTCTTTGATTGGTTTTTGTCTTTCTTCTCTGTCTCACAAAACCAAAATCGCATCATCAATTTGATCAAACTATTACATTATCGTAGTGATGCTTTGTTCTGCTTGTTTCCCATGAACTGGACGTAACTGGCCAAATAGCTAACGTCAGTTGTTGTCACGCTCAACACAGTGGCAACGCCAGGGTGCCTCGGTCAGCTGCTTCCTTTCATTTCACTGCCAAATCCATGCAACCAGCTCTCCATCCTCCATTTCTCCCCCTGTAGACCCTGGTCATGAGTTAGTTAACCCCTGATATGTTTTAGCTGAAACAGACGGAGAGAAACTCAACTCACTACCTCTTGTAACCAGATGTTCTTTCATTGTCTGCTGTCTGCAGCAAGCTGCTTCCGTAGCTCCAGTTGCTCCTCTGCCTTTGCATTTACTTCCCCTCCCAAACAAAAGATTCGAACACCACCGGCTCTCCTTGCAGCCAGAGCTGTGTGCTGAGATGACCCTGTTGCTAGCATCTTCTCACTGACATCACATTGAGCCAAGAGCCTAAAACAGAATATTTAGAGCAGCCTCAGATGCTCCTCTCAACATTTCCCAAAAAGCATCTATCATGTTGACAGTAGCGTATATGATATAAGAAAAGACAAATAAGGATCACATTTCCACTTTTAAAAAGTTTGGCAGGAAATTCTGTTAATTGGTTCTTTTCTAGAAATAAAAAAAGGCTCTTTGTATGATTTGTGCGTCACTGGCAGGAAGATGTGTTGGGTATGCTTTATGGCTTAGCTTCTTATAGCTTGACAAATTGTGTTGTTGACATGCTTCGTTGTCCTTCTCATCCTGGAACATTCCCTGCCTCCAATCAGCCTTATTAAACTAAAATCTAGCTTTCTCTCCATCCCTCTCCCCTTCTTCTTCTGTCAGGCTTAATAGCATTACGTCCCCTGTCAGTCCTAACTTTGTTTGGCCCTGGAATCTCAGAGTGTGTGTGTGTGTGTGTGTGTGTGCGTGATGGGGAGAAGGAGAGAGATAGGGTTGTTATGTAATGGTGAACTGGTGGGGTAGCAGGAGAGAAACATGCCAAGAAACAAAAGAAAGGAGGAAAGGAAGCTGGAAGAGCAGAAAGAAGTGGTCATTTGCTGGTTTGTGTGTCTGACAAGCAGCTGTTAGTCAAACAGAGTAGCCTAAAACTCTTTGTTTTTCCAAACGCATCAGTCAGTCACATTTCTTTGACTACTTTCTTGGTAAGTGATAAAAAAAAAGTTTTGTTCTTTCTCTCTAATCTTCTTCCTGCTGTTCTGAATGTGTTTTTCTTGCTTCTGTGCAGTGTGAGATTTGCTCGACTCTGATTGTTTTACCAGCCAGTTGCATATTTTTAATAACTGCATTTCAGATGGGCACCTAGGAGATGCAAGACTGAACATGCAAGACGTTCGTGTCTGTGGTTGCTTCAGTCTGTTTTGTTTCTCTGTAGTATAAAATGGATTTGAACAAAAGTCCAGCTCATTAGGATGCTTTCTGCTATGCTGTGTGGCTTAAACTAGATGGGATTTCAGGCGTCCCTTGTTCCTGCTGCAGTTACTTCCAAGTGCTGAAAAATCTCTTACTCTGTAAAACCTGTGTCCTGTCACACTAACATCTATTTTCCACTGTTTGTGTCTTGTGTATTTTTTTCTTTTAATGTTTTTTGAACTATATTCTTTTTTTCAAATAATTTGGGAGTCATTCTCAGTGTTTGCTAGGCCTTGGAGGGGGCTGCCCTTTGGGTTCCTGCTGATTTGTTCTGTTGATGTGCTCTTAATTGGCTCTGAAAGGCTCCACTTCATTATTTATACCTGATGGGACAACTGGATTTATGTGGAATTTAACCCTGGGTCAAACTATTACTCAATCTCACAGTTCAGAACCTCTTGTCTGTCAGCTGTTTAAACCCTAACCCTCAATTGAGTATAAGTAGTGCAGGGCTGATAATGCAGTAATACTTTGATCATTCACCAAAATGCACAGAGACAACACAATAGCGCTTTCTCAGCCCAATTTAAACTATCACATTGATCGGAACGCTTCCTTCAGTGTTCAGTTAGGTTGTGATCTGATGACTTTAAATGTCACAGGATAATTTTCTCCCCAAACCATTCAGTGGTGCCTCATTACCTTTGGATGGAGACATTAAAGACACCCCTTCCATCAGGATTGACATTTTTCATCATAAGCTAAAAACAACCGTGTGATTTGTAGTGACTGCTTACTTAATTGCCAAAGACATGCAAGGGAAAGAAGTGGTTGGAGATGTGGCACAACCAAAATAATTGTGACCTTGTGTAATGAGCCTTTGAAATGATGAGCTTTGAAGACAGGGACCAGTTCTGGAACCACTCGCAGTCAGTCTGCAACCAGTCCGCTATCAGTTTGTGATTGAATGTGGTCAATTTTCAGTTACATGCAGCCTGTTTCTGATAATACTGCATTTATTTATCTGTTGAGCTTTGCATAAACAGAAATTCACATTAACTACTTGGATTCAGAGTCCCTCCTGAACAGAAATTCCAATAGAAAAAGTGACAAAGTTGTGCAGGACAGGGATTTAACTGCAAAATGACACAGGCGCTTGGCAGCCTTGCTTTTGTATAGGAAGGAAACCACAATACAACCTTCTGGTGATCGGTTGAGTTGAGCTGAGTGCCCTGTTCCAAAGAAACACATCAAAGATGAGTTGTGCTCATCGGCACAGATTTACTCAGACTGATTGCAATGTGTATGTATTCTGTTTGTGTTTATAAGTTCAACAGCACTTATTTGCAAACCTTCAACAATCTGTCTGAGATTGATTGCAGTTGGACCAGAGACCTGTGCAACTGAATTTCAGTCAAAAGTGAGGGTGTTACAGAGCTGCCAGATCACCTCAATATGGGGATCTGGTGTTTAGGTTTTGCATTTAATTGTCATTCTGTGTCTAAAATGAATAAATATGCCAACTTTATGGTAAATCTCATCTGTTTAAGGAAAGAGTTTAAAGGTGCCTACTACACATGTAACCTTAGCATTCTTAGGATCTGGGACGTAACAAACAGGGTAGGACATTGGTATTTAATGGATCTAGCTATATGATTATAACATCGTTTGAATTGATTTTACATTGATCACCGTGTCATTATATGCTTTGGTTGGTAAGTATATATATATATATATGTAAGTAGCAACAGATATCATGTTGAGAAGTGGTCACTCTAAATTTCTGGCACAGTCAGAATTTTTCCAGTCAGGCTGTTTAATGGAAAAATTGTTCTAGTAACCAGTTTTGAACTGCTTGCAGGAGCCACTGCCAAAGATATAGTCACACTGGTCATGATTTGTCTGGGACAGCCTAAAATCACACAATGCTCTTTTTATCCTTTATGTGTGTGCTTGTTTGACTTCTCTGAAAGGTTCCTTCCCTTCACTGCTCTTCTATTTTCGCTTTGCAGGGAGTGAAGCCTGCCAGCTTTGACAAGGTAGCCATTCCCGAGGTGAAAGAAATTATCGACTGCTGCATCAGAACTAACAAGGATGAGAGGTGAGTCACAGACAAAAACCATTGATGCTAAATGTGCATCTGGGCTTGGTGTGATTTCTTGGGCTGTGGATGTTTGCATGTTTGCAAACTCAACAATTAAAATGGCCTTATTTAATCGATTCCATTGTTATTTAGTCTCTTCATGGGTAGACAGATTGATCTGTTAATCCTCCTCTAAAAAAAAGGTTACGTTTTCTTAAAAACTCATGCCTTCTTGGTTAGAAATTAAGAAGTGCTCTGTTTTCTCTGCACGTGCTGTTTGCCTGCCAACACTTTTACCACAGTCTCTCGTCTTCTGCTTCACAAGCTTAACCAAAGCAACTTTACCCCTCACTCTCATACTCGATCTTCTTTTTTCTCTCTCCAAATCTTCTTTCTCCAAATTATCCAGATTCAGTTACTGTATCTTTTTCATATTTTTCTAGGAAACCAATAACCATTTTTAGCATTGCTGATGTTTTTTTTAACTACTTTTCTTTTCCCAGGAAACATTTGGAGGCTCCAAAAGTGATTGCACAATTTTCAAAGCTATCTAAGGACAACATGTCGTCAGCATGTTACGATTCCCAGAAGATTATTCAAATACCTTGTCTTTCCTCTTAGCTCATGAGTTAGGGATCAGCTCACAAGGGATTGCAGGTCTTGAATAAATTGATATCAAGTGGTATCTAGAAATAATTCCAGTTCACTCTCATTTATGGTATAACTCTCCTGTTGAATCTCCAGTGAATATATTGTACTGAGCTTGATCCATCTCGCCTTGTTTCTCTAGGTATGCCATAAAGATCCTGTTGAACCATGCCTTCTTCCAGGAGGAAACAGGGGTCAGGGTTGAACTGGCAGAAGAGGACGATGGAGAAATGATCGCTATTAAACTGTGGCTCAGGATAGAAGACGTGAAGAAGCTCAAAGGTAAGGCATGATTTTATCATTATTGATGATGCCATTATTCACATCACAGGACAAAATCTGACTCTATTTGTCATATGTGTTCAGATATAAATGTGTAGCCGTTTTTCTTAGTGGTTCAATATATTAAACTGGTCAAAAACCAAAGCGCATGTTTTGTTGGACAACCAGTAACAGTACATTAATACTATAGGTAATTGCCTGATTGGCAATTTTTAACATGTTTGCAGGAAAATACAAAGACAACGAAGCCATCGAGTTCTCCTTTGACCTGAACAAGGACGTCCCCGAAGATGTGGCCCAGGAAATGGTGAGTACAGTGAATAGGAACAAATCCATTTATTACTCCATTCATTGTGGAATAATGGATGTCAGAGGGAGAAAATGATGGATTTAGGAAGGACAGAGGAGATATATGGGAATGAGGAAAGAAATATATTGTAATGAGAGATGGAAATGGGACATTCATTCATATAGGAATGATGAATGGCGTTAAATGGAGTTGTGCCTTTTTTTTTTTTGTGTCTCTGAGTGACTTCTCTTCAATCCCGCAGGTTGAGTCTGGCTATGTTGCTGAGGCTGACCATAAGACCATGGCCAAGGCCATCAAGGACCGCGTGTCTCTGATCCGGAGGAAGCGAGAGCAGAGGCAGCTGGTACGAGAGGAACAGGAGAAGAGGAAGCTGGAGGCAGAACACCAGCAGCAGCAGCAGCAACAGCAACAACACGATACACACAAAGCTTCACACACACAGGTCTGTCGGACTGACGCATTAGTTTGGTGTCTAAGTTAAAAAGCACTTTAAGTCTATTGAACCAGCAGACAATTTGGTGCAGTTATTCTTTTTAAGGTTTGTAATGAAAACAATTACTTAGCCATCTACTGCACAAGCTCAAGAATTAGGACAGGTAGGTAGATAGGTGTATCTACCAGGAGGCTGAGGGGTACCACTGGCAGCCGCAAGTGTTTTTTTTTTTCTTTTCAAATGATTACAACCAACCAAAAGAGTCTCGAAGAACAGTTCACAGTAAGGATTGGGACTTACTATCAAACATTTGAAGGTGGCACATCCTCCTACAAGAGCACACTGAGATCTGGTATGTTAGGTTTTTCACTTTTTAGTCAGTTACTTAAAGCCCCCTTTTTCCAACATGTAAGCATATCAGTCATTTCTATCCACTGCTTGCTCTTCCTATCATATCAGTCATTTTTTTTACATTAGGGTCAGAGAAATAGGAGTTTTATTCTTATTTTGCTTCAGTTTGACCCTCTCCTGTGCATGCTTGTCTGCAGGCAGAGACCGAGGAGACCGAAGTGGAGCAGCACCAGCTTCTCTATCAGCAGGCGAGCATCTCACACACATGTAAGTACCCAGATAAGGAGGTCTAGTCTAAATAGTCGATTTCAACAATTGTTATATTTGCCCACCAAGGCCAGGAAGGTTTTCTAGCATCAAGTTTAAATGTATTCCTTCAAATCAGAAGCAGCCATTCTTGGTCCACTTTTCAAATTCGATACAGTATTTAGAGTCGGGCATTAGAAAAGTTTACTCCAGTAAAAAGTCTGTTTTTGTGTCCCTGTCAGCTGAAGGAGGCGTGGACAGTGGCCAGGGTTCCTCTGTTTTCTCCTCAGACTCCCCCCACCTGGGTCAGCTGACCATGTCGTACAGCTGCCCCCCTTCTAGCCAGCCTCCTTCCCAGCCCCAGACCCCCTATCCCCCCACCCCCTCCGCTACCCCACAGCAGCACCCGGGCTACGCCCAGCCGCTGCAGCCAATGGTAAGTGGAGCTTTCATTCAAATGAGTCACTACACGTGACAGTCATGCCACATCGGTGACGGTTAGAATGTTCTCGGTGCTCACGGATGTGATTAAACATGACTCGTCAGTTTGCAGTGAGCGCTGCGTCATGTGTTGGAGTGGGAGTGAGTTGGAATGAATTTTGCGGTGTTTGGAAATGGTGTGGGGAATTTCAGCCACCTGTATTTATAAAAATAAAAGAATGCAGTTAACCCCTTAGCAGTCCAATTAGTCCCCTAAACCATCCAATGTACCGTGGGCGGTACGTCCGACTGCTAACAGGTTAATTGGCTTTTACTTGAAGATGGTAACTTTATTACACTTCAGGAAGATAAATAACACAAGGCACTGATTTGACTGAGGCATGCAGCCTTCAACATTTAACCCAGTATGGCAGTTATAATATTTCAGCCACTTTAATCCATCAGTAAGGTCAAACATAGTCAGACGTATTATGTCTGTACTACCAGCGTAGTACCATATGTCATCATCTGTACCTTGGATGTCAGTGAGTACTCTCTTTATTCCAAAAAAAGCATCTCTCGTTATCAGACAGTTACCACCTTTCTTCTCTGTCTTTAAACCCTGCTTTCCTGTCCTTGTGTCTCTATATATTTTTTCCTTTACAGTTATAAATTTCATTTTTGCGGTCATTCTGTTATTTCTTTCTGTTTGGTGTATTTCATTTGTTTTATTCATTCATAGTCGGGCACATCTGTTTGGACACACGTCAAACAGGAACATGTTGAGATCACTCGCAGGTCATTATTTATTTACAATGCATTAGATATTTTTTCTCAAGGACCTGACATAGTTTTTTCCGCTTTCTCTTAGTGGCCAAGATTTAGATCTAGGTTGACTTATTTATATCTGGAGCGTATGAATCACATTTCTTGTTAAAAGTAGTGGTAATGGAGAGGTGAACGTTTTCATTTTAATTTTCGCCATTACACGCGATGACTTCTGGTTTCTATGCCCTCATCTGACTTCTAAATTACCAGCATCCACACAGACTGAGACTGCTGTTGTTCACCTAGATGTACACCGATTGACTATATAACTAAATAATGTCCTTTCAAGGCTTTCTTTGAACTGCAACTGAATTACTCAGGAAGCTTATTTTCTCATCAAAGCCAACTTTTGGAGGTGGTGAAATAGACAGACTGGCTTGTTTATAACATCAAATGAGGTCCTAATGAGTTATTTTGAAAAATCATTCTTTGTTCTATTTGAAGTCTGACATATTTTTTTCTGTTTCTTTAATTTACAGTTTATTTTTGTGTCTTTGTGATATTTGTGAAACTGGACACTTTTAACGGTATGATAGATGACTTGCAAATGATTAGCTCCATTGAGAAACTTGTTGTTTATAAATCTGAAACATTTTTGCTCACAAAATAACTGTAATTGTTTTGTTGGGGTTTTTTTCGATGATGTAAAAACTGTAAAACTGTGGCTTTTATTTATGGTATGATTTGGTTTTTATTTTAAGTTTCTCTATAACTGCTGCGATCTGTGTTTAAGTACCTTTTCTCCTGCTTTTTTTTTTCTTTTTGTGTTTGTTTTTCATGTTGGTCACTCCCTCTTCCATCAACCTCCCTGGCCTGCAGCCTGTGTCGCACCACCGTCGATGTCGTAGCATGTCTGTTTGCGTTCCCCCTTCCTCCTACTCCTTTTCTCACGTTCCTCCGCCCCTGGTTGTTCCTCCAAAACAGCCCGCCACACCTCCAGACCTGTCCTCCTCGTCCCCTTACACCACTGCCTCATCATGCACACCTCTCACATCAGAGAGGGACACATTCACTAGGTGCCTCTCCAAGGCCCTGGAGACAGTCCTGCCCCTTCACTCTGCCTCGTCTCAGCCCAGGGCCAGGCAGCGGCGGGCCAGCCTACCTGCCCTGTTCTCAACCCCTGTAGGTTCTAAAGAGATAATTGGGCCATAGTGGTGGAACCAAAGAGGACGAGAGAGAAAAAGATGATGGACATGGGCCACATTGAGTCTGAAATGAAAGATTTATAAAAATGCAAAATTGCATTATTGAAAAGTTCCAAGTGATGCTGCATATGGAAACACAATATGACACCATGTACATATTACTAACTGATGCAGTTTGTTTCAGTGCTGATTATTTTTCTTGGTTACGATTTGAACATTTTTCTGGTTTAAGCAACCAGGATAAGGTCCTTTGTTGATCTTAAGAAATGTGCATTTGCACTATTAAATATAGAAAATATAAAAGCTCATTGCTTCAGAGAAATTCAGTAAAAGTTAAAATGGTGAGTTAGAAGAGCAACAGCTGGCATAAAGGATACTTTACATGAACTAGATGTAGTGTGCTTAGATTAGCGCTACTTAAGTTCTCAAACTTCCTGTAAGGGTTAGTGTAGCAAGCCTGTTACACAAAAATACGTGTATTACGTGCTCACTTTTTTTTCCATTAAGATTTTCAGACTCTTTTGTGAGTCTTTGATTCTAGACATACGTCTCTATAAAACTCTCTCTGCCTCCACTGGCCACCGCATAGTCCTATTAAATACGCAGTGATTGCACTTTACTTTAACCCTGCTCTGTAGTCAAATGCTCTAATAAAATGTGCATCCTGAATCAGGAAAACTGGTTACTTTACAGCAATTTGGTATAAAAACAATGCAGGATGTTCCCATAATATGCAGAGACAGCGAAGATGTGACGTAGGTCAGCGGTCCCCAACCTTTTTTCCGCCACGGACTGGTTCAATGTCAGACAATATTTTCACAGACCGGCCTTTAAGGTGTCACGGATAAATACAACAAAATTAAATGATACGACCAAGACAAAAACTGTGGTATTTTGTAAATGTAATAATAAACGCATATTCGCCGTGTAATTTTGTAACTTTATTAGCAGCGTCCTCCTTAAATGCGCCAACAGCATTGAGAGTTGGCGCATTTCAGGAGGAGATTTTCCTCTCTGCCTCCTAATGCTCTCTGGTCACAATGGTAACGCGTAAACATTTCTTTCAAAATAAGACGCACAACTACACACGGGAAAAGACCTAGGGAAACAGAGTTAACAATAAAAGCCCTGAAAACCATAAGTTTCACACCCGAGCCTCAGCTCTCGCGGCCCGAGGCTTGGGGACCGCTGACGTAGGTGATGGTTGAAGAATCTGTGAGAAGATATTTGCACTTTCTGGAAAGTGTTGCAGTCTACCTTTTCTTGCAAGCGGCAGCTGGCTGCTTAAAAGGTCAACATTTTGCAGAGATATGTTTGAAATAAAACACAATTTTCCTGATTGCAGATGCATTAGGATAATGTCAACCTTTGAGACAACCTTTCCTCTCTTTGCATTTTATAACTCACTTTCTCTCCACCTGTGATGGTGTATATCTGTCCTTTTCTGTCTTGTCTTTTGTCTTTGTGCTGTAGCTGTGTGTGACTTGATCTGTCTATTGTAACCAGTTTCCCATCTCTTCATTACCAGTTTGGTTCACTTTGTTAAACAGCTTTTAACCACATAATTTTCCTTTAAGTGTAGAAGGTGACTACCCCCCATCCCCCTTTTTATTTTGGGGTGTTCTTTGAAATTATGCTCTTTTTCTCCATTTCATTGGGCCTTTACTGTGGTTCTGTGTCATTCTCTCTGAGTGTCATTCTTAAATCCATTGTATCTCACTGTCACAGCAGCATTCAATGCCACACCCTTTCAGCGGAGGACCAAGCACAGGAGGAGGAGCAGGAGGGAACGTCCCTCTTCCAGCTCTCCCAGACCCCCCGACTATTTTCTTCCCCTCTATCCCTGAGCGTCCGATTTCCTTCTCACCTCCTCCTACTGGGCCTCCAAAGGCCTACAACACTCAGAGACGCAAGAGCACTTCCATTCTCGAGGCGCATACCCGACACTTTCAGCCTGCTTACCCTCGTTACGGGAGCAGCCTCCACCCTTTTTCTGGCATGGAGGGCGTTGAGGCTCCTTCTCTCTTCATGGTTAATCCTGGTTTTGCAGCAGCTGCTCAAAGACTTGGTGTTGGGGAACCCCTCCATCTCCCAGGACAATCTGATCCAAGTTTTTATGGGTTCAAAGACATGAGAGCAGAGCACGAGGAAGCAGTGAGGAGACTCAATCTAAATCAAGCAGCCTTATTGGACCATTATGAAGCAATGGCATATGGAGGCTACCCAATGACTGCACACCAGCTTTTCCATCAGCAGAGGCAGGCAGCAGCTGCAGCTGCTGGTTTGGGTTTTGATCCTGGTCCTCCATCTCAAGCAGGGTTCTTACATCCTCATATCCTGCAAAGAATGAGTGCACACAGTCCAATACCGCCACCCTTACCCCCCATGAGTGCATCCACGGTTGGCTCTATGTCTTCTTCATCATCCGAGGGATGCTATGCTCCACAGCATGCTTCCTCATCCTCCTTTCCTATTTCTGCACCTCCAGTAATGGCCGACGCCCCGCCACCTACCGGAAGTGTTTTTGAGTTTCATTTAGCTGCAGCCGCTGCAGCTGCAGCCGCTGCTGGAGATCCAAGCCTCCTGGCATCCAGACTTTACCGGGCCAGACGGAGTTCTATGGATCTCCCTCTAGAGGACAGCCCTGGGACGGGATCCAGTGGCTCCGGCACATATAGTCGTCTGCAGCCAGTGACAGAAGAGCTGTACTCTTACGTGAGTCCGGAGCTCCCTTTACCTCCGGGAAGTCTCCTCCTTCACCACGCAGGTTTGACTGTAAAAGACAGAAGTCCCGATCCTTCTAGCGACTCTCTGACCTCCTCTGATGCAGGAGAGTTCCAGTCACCACCTCCGCCACCTCTTCCTCCTTCCTTCGAGTCCTCAGCTGCTCAGTCCATCCCTCGCTCGTCCTCCACTGCGCCTTACGATTCACCAGGGGGAGTTCTTCACGCAGATCCCCAGGGGCATCCGCCTTCAGTGCAGAACTTTCTGCCCACCACACCATCGTCCGAGCTCCCGCTTGGGGGGTCGTCATCAAATCAGCTGGAGTCTCTGATCCAGAGCTCCTGGGCCCGGCACGGGGGAATGGTGCCAGCTCAACCGGATATGACATACCACGAGTCACTGCTGGCCATGCAGGCCGCTAACCCCCCTCTGGTACAATGTTTAGAACTAGAAACCACACCTAGACCTCTGGGTCAGTTACTAGTTTAGATTTTGAAATTTATACCAAAATTTTACATAGAATGTTTTGATTGATGGTTAAACTGTAATTCCTAAATTATGGTATTTTCTGCTTTTGATTATAAATTATTAACAGCTCACAGATTGACAGTTTTTTTTTTTTAATATATTATCCTTCTAACAGTCTTGTTCTTGGACCCCGTAGCCAGTAAATAATTGGAACAATGTTGTGCAATCTAGCAAAAGAAATTTAATTTTATTGGTAATCTGACCCAGAGTCTGTTACACCAATCCCTGTTGTTTTTTTTCCTCCATATTTTATTTATGGTATTTTTTTTTCTTTATGTCATCATGTAGTCTTTGTGATTTAATCCCCCCTTTTCTGTCGTGCAAGCACCACAGAGAGTCTGCCTTCATAGTTTCTTCATTCTTCAACAGCATTAAAGGAAAAGGGGTGATTCCCTCAAACATTTTAGTTAAAAACATGAAACCAGAACCATTTAATTTTAAGTTTAACATTCGAGGCATTATTTTTAGTAAATGGATAATTACGTTGAAAGTAAGACTCTTTGGGACACTCTGTGGTGTAAAAGCTTTATGAGCCGAGTCTAAGCTCCCTTCTTCTCTGTGTTTATGTTGTGAATTTTTGGTGTTATCAGTAAGTAATATTTTGTCTGTATGTTCATATATGAAAGTATATGAGAAATGTGTGTTTGTGCTGGTATACTGTGTCTACAGTATACTTGAATTTTAGCCCATACAAATCCAAAGTCAGTTTGATCTGGAGTTCAGAGTACCTACAAAGGTTAATGGTTAAGATGAATAATCACATCGACATCCATGCATTTGATATCATTTTATGACATTTAACACAACGTCTGAATTCACATAAAGCTGTAAGACTTTGCTGATTTGTATGCTTAAACACACAGAAACATACAACAAAACTAAAGGAGGCTTAGACAAAATAGCAATGTAACCATGCAGAGAGACGTTCATCTGTGTGTTTCACAATTTGTGTTGTAAATGCTAAAGAGCTTGGCTTCGAGCCAGTTCTTTAATTTAACATATTATGTTATCATTTCCTGCCCACAATGAAAATCAACTTCCTACACAGGGTTCAAAGGTCACAGCTGAAATTCTTTAAACCCTTAGAACGCTGACATTCTTGTTTACTTTCTTTCCTTTATTCATTTTCCTTTTCATCGTCCATCAGTAGCTCTTTTTTTCCATCTCATTTATATTAAGTTCTTGATCTTTTTAGCAACGTTATTTATTAAATATCGCGTATGTGCAACCTCTTATGTGTTTGTGTTACTCCCTGTAATGTTAGAGAAAGCTAGGTAGTCGTACGTCTGGTGCAACGTACCGTACTTGCGTAAGCTTTCCCCATATTTTCTCAGGATGAGCTTCACGACAAGTATACAGTTGCTTCCGGCCTTCTAAGGGTTCAGTCATCAGTGGATTGGTTGTAGTCATCTCTGTGCTACTGTAGAGTATTTGAAGAATTCATTGAGTGAACACAGGAGCCTGTCAGGGTGATGACCATCATGAAATTTAAAGGATTGAAAATCAAGTATACAATTGAAATGATAAGTTGACTCAAAAGAAAGCCTGCATCATTTCAAGTGAATCAGACTTTCTGTCAGAGTCAGAGGTAGGGCCATGACAGGACATGTGGTGTTAGGATGAAATCTGAAAAAGCAGCAAGTGTTTTAAAACATCTTAGTTAATTCATAGAGAGTATTCCAATTTTTACTCTGTGCTCTGTTGGCTATATAACACCTTTTTATCATCACTGTTAATGACTTAGGTCCTGACCTGCATGTTAAATAAATCCTACTTACACCCTGCCTAACCCCAGTGCCGTGCCCATACTGTTGTACATGCTATACTACAAGCTGCGTATATGCATACATTAGATATCAGTGTGCATATATCTGTCGTCGGATTAGAGTATACGTGTCTGTTTGCATGTGTGCATACACAAGAGGAAGATCTAGATTAAAAATGATTGCTAGAGAAGAGCAGAACTGCCTTGTGTTTGTACTCATGCATACTGTTGGATCCAAAAGCTACAAACATGTTCTAATTGTCTTTTTCTCTCTTTTACTCTCTCTTGTCCATAATCTCTCTCAATTTCTCTCCTCCATCCTCCATTGTTTTGTCCTACGACGTTGCATCTGGTCCTGTCTTTCCATTTTTCTGTCTTTCTTTCTCTAAATCTGACTCTTAACAGCAGACTCAGGTGTCCTCCCCTCAGCCAACTTCAGGACCTGCTTTGGTCCCTGCCAGCACACAGCCACCACTTTCTGGGACTGCCCAACAGGTAGGCATTGGTTTTTAGCATTATTTTCAAGTCTCGGTGTTTTGGCCACCTACATATTAGTTATTGGGAGTTAGATTTGAACAGAAAGGTGGAAATTTATCACCTCAAGCTTTATTTGGAGTGGCAACCTGCAAAACTCTCAGGGCCTCAGTTAAGAGGCCCAGTTTAGTGAGGTCAGTTAGAGGAGGTGAAGCCTTGCTCACAGCTCTTTGTGTTGGCTCTAATGTAGCTCAAAGTGGACTACTCCCAACTACAGGAGTAATTTCAATGTGTTAATCAGTACGCTGTGGGGTCCAAAGAACTGAACTTTGATTGAGCAATAAATTATAGTCAATTATAACATTTATATTATGACCCTTTATAATTTGGTCACATTTAAATTTTTATTGTAACACTTATTTTGTCAGAGTGCAGCCATATTATCTTTTGGCAGTTTGGCACATAAAGAGTATCTTTGTTTATGTAAATATCTACAGCAGGGGAGTCCAACTCCAGTCCTCGAAATCTACTGTCCTGCAGATTTTAGATGCATCCCTACTCCAACACAGCTGAATCAAATTGGATTACCTCTTCAGCATGCCATCAAGTTTGGCAAAGGCCTGGTAACAAGCCATTGATTTGATTCAGGTGTGTCGAGACACGGATGAATCTAGAAGCTGCAGGATAGTAGCTCTCGAGGACTGGAGTTGGACACCCCTGATCTACACTGTTTTCTCTCACCCACGTTTCTCTGTTTGTCCCTCTCCAGGTTGCCTCATCTAGCCAGAGTAGCACATCACTTCAAAGCCCCACACACACACCTCTGCCACAGTCACCTGCACAGGTACAGTTATAGTTGTATTTGTTAAATATATATCTATATGTGTTTTTAGCTAGGACTCTTTCTTGTCAAAGAGATGCTGTTCTAGATTGAGTATTTAAATATACATTCATTTATATATTAACACTGTGTAACCTAACCCAATCCACTAAAGCAGCATTTCCATAAATGTAAATTTTAAGTTTTTATTTTTGTTGACATTTCTAGAAAGTTGATTGTTTAATTTTTTTTACAGTAAAGTGATTGTGGGTTATTATGGCATACTGGATTGGCTTAGATTGAAGTGTTCCTAATTGTACATGTGGGTGGTGATAGGTCTTTTTAAAGGTGCCTGATGGCTCGTATATCTGCATTTATCTTTAGTCATTTACACACTTATGCATATAATGCAACTGCTCGCCCACATTTTAAATTCTAATCTGAAACAAATCTGCTAAACGCAATTCATTCACAATTCACACGATTCATAACAGTCTCTGTTATTTCACCTCAGGGCTAGAGTACAAGTTACCATTAGTATTTCCTCACTTCTGTACCCGAATACCCAGAGACAAATCCACATACGCATCTGTGGATATGTAGTTAGGCATTACACCTGCTGTTTTTGAGTTATTTTGTCTTGTTGCATGTTCTGCTTTCTTCACTTTTCTTCTGTTTTTCTTTCCATTTTCTGGCTTGCTCGTGGGCATGCTGCCTGTGTTTACCACCGGGTTTGTTTTTACATGTTTTTACGTATCCACTTGTATGTCATTGTGTTTGTGTGGTACGCCGTGTGGTTGCGTGTTTAGTTTTGTGACTTAAGTCCATCTCCCAGTTTAGAGCACCTTTATCTTCTGTACCAAGTTGCTCAGCTAGCTCTGTCTCAGGTATCGTCGTAATTGACACTGTAGTTTGTTGTACTGTAAGTGGCTGTGCCTGTTTGTCTCTGTCCTCACGTGAAACTGTGATGTATTAACTGAATCCTTTGAACAGAACATAGACCTTTTGAGTAAAGCTGTGTATTCTCCTGACAGTGCATCTTTGTTTACCCCACATGCTCTCACTGACCACCTTAGTAAAAGCATGGACAACAAACACATGAGCACGGAAATGGAGATGGGCAGTATTTCCAGTAATAGTCCAGTATTTAGTTTGGTATTAAGGCTAAGTCAATATTTTGTTGGAAAAAGAGTGTTTTTTTTTTCTCTGTACTCCACTGCAGTGCATTTTAAGTAAAGCAGTCGACACGTGATTGAAGTGCAGACTTTTAGCTTTGATTTAAGGGGTTTAACAACAATTTTGCATTAACTGTTTAGGAATTTTAGCTATTTTTATACACAAGCCCTGATTTTCAGATGCTCAAAAGTAATTGGACAAACGGACATAATTTTAAATATTAGAATTGATTGTCTTTGAAGTCGATGACCTTAACACTAGAGCCCATGGGCATCGTTTTAGTACAAGTTATATTGAGTTCATCTGTCCGAAGATTTTCTTTTCCACAACTGTGAAGACTCTTTGAGATGTTTTCTGACAAAGTCCTCATCAGGCCTTCTTGTTCTTGAGGTGAAATCAGTGGTTTGCACCTGTCTGAAGCCTTTGTGTTTCCATTCATGAAGCAACCACCTGATTGTAGACCTGATACGTACGGCACTTTGAGAGTGTTTTTTTTTTTTTTTAAGGATCATAAACTCTGTCATCATGCACCTTCAGGCCTTTTGGTGTTGCTGAGGTCATCAGTGCATTTATTTTTTTTACAGAATGCACAGGATGGTAAAGTTTTGTCTCTCTGAAAGGTTTATTTGAGTTTTTGAGCCTCTACTAGTCTTTATTTCTTCCTTCATTTACACTGACATCTTTTTGGGATGCTGTATCCACTCCAGATATTATGTCTCCTTTATTTATCATGATAATGAAACAGGTCTCTCCTGGCCATGAAACTGTTTGTCAGTCCATCGTCTGGTGATTTTTAGCCTCTTGACATCAGGGACGGTGTATAAAGTGGTTATAATTACTACACAATTAATGCAGTATTTAACCCCTTGGATAAAGCAGAAAGTCTGCACTTGAATTACATTTTGATTATTTGATTTTAACTGTGGATTTGTGCAAAACTACAAAAAATTGATTCACTATCTAACAAATTATATATTAAAGAATTATAAAGAGTAACACGTCACGTCTGATTTAAAGACAAAATATGGAATTTAAATTTCATAGCACGGATATTTTAGTCTTTTAGTTTTACAGTAATGATTTCATGACTTGCATTTTTTTTATTTTTAAACCTTTTAGTATAATTTTCATTGTTTCAAACAGTGAGATTGGCCACTTAAACACACCATTAACCAACTTGATTGATATTTTTTTGTATATAAAAATGAATGTAGTATCTTTGCCTTGCTGTAAACGATTAAAAATGTGTTTTTCTAAACGTGTAGATTGAATCTTTGAGTAAAAGAGAGCCGATGATTCAAATATTAAGCAATATTTTCGGTTTTGTTTCTTTAGCTGTTAAGTTTTCTTTTCACCATTTCTGCAAACATGCAGTTTTTATTGTTACTGTATGTATTTCTTTTATAACACACGACACCAAGCAGTAGGTAATAATATTTATTCAGGACGTTGGATCTTGAAGACTAAAAATAGAAAGCTGTTTTCGTTTACAGTGTTTCCATATCTTGACTCTTGAAGGTTTTTAGCCTTCTTTTCCCATTTGTGATGTGGTGTTGAGAGTGTTGCCCATCTACATTGTAAAGCCGTATTGCACGTTGTCTGTAGGGTTTGCTCTGTTGTTGCATGGTCTTCCAGTGGTGTGTGTATCACTCAGCTGTTCTGTCACACAGTGTGTGTTGTTTGGTTTCAGAGCTTGGTATGTCCTTACTAACAGGCTTGATGTACGGTCCTGTTGTCTTGCTTGGTTAAGTTTTTGTTAAGGGTGTGAAACATGTCAGTAATGTGTTGGAACTGTGGATGACTCGCTCCTTTGGCGTCTTTATTTTAACATGATTTATCATGGAGACCAGTAAAGACCCAGATTCAGTCTGTCCATGCTTGTCATGTCTGATCCCTGGCTGGGTTTTTCTACTTCCTTATCCCCCCATGACTTTGCTCCCGTCCTTTTCTCATCTCCTCTTCCTTATCTTCTTCTTTCTCTTTTCTCTTTTCTTTTCTCTTTCCCTCTGTTCCTCCTTCCTTCTCAGCCTGGTGTAACTCCACCTACCTCTACCGTTCCTTTGGTGACCCTTCCTTCTCCGTTGCTGTCTATTGCCGTCACAATGCCGAGCGCGGCCGTGGCTCCCCCTCCCTCTCCTCTGCCAGTCCCTGTTGGGGTGGTGCCTACTATTGTTTCCCCTTCTCCTCCTACTCCCGCACCCACATCTGTGCCTCAGGCTTTGGCCACGGTGGTGCCAATCATCAGTGTAGTCAGCGCCCCGCCTGATACCCCCATGGAAGCCCCCCCTCAGGTACTGGTTATAGATGGTCGAACCCACCAAAAGTGAATGAAATGAGAATTTTCCCAAATTTTAAAAATCTTGGAACTCATGCATGAAGTTTTTTTGTTTTTTTTTTAACCACCATCACACTTTCTACTGATAGGACCTCACAAAGATGTTACGAAGTTCTTGTTTTTTAATCTGAAATGCACATCCTGGAGTATTGTTATATGATAATTCTGTTAAAGTTTTGCGAGTAAGAAATGAAAATGCACAGCTACAGTTTTGTGTTGTTTTAATTGCCTTTTGTGGGTTTAAGTGTAACAATATACAATCAGTTAATAATTGCTGGAAAAGCTTACGTGTCTTGTTGGTGGAGTGAGTTAAAAAAATAGAAAAAACATGTTGAACCTGCAAAACCAAATTTTTTGATTAGTTTAAAAATAAAAATAACTAAATATAATGTCCTGTGGAACTGATCAGTAACTCTTCTTGGTTCATATTGGTTCGGTTCATTGAGGTTTTCAGGCGTTTGTTTATGCACAGCTTTCTTAAAGTCCTGCCACAGCATCTCAGTCAGGCTGGGGTCTGGACTTTGAATGGGTCATTGCAGCAGCTTGATTCTTTCTCAGCTACTCTGAATTGCTGATTTGCTGTGACAACATTGTCTTGTTGCATGATACAACTTTGGCCGAGCTTTAGGTGTGGGACAGATGGCCTCAGATTTGACTTTAGCAACTTTGGTACACAAAGGAGTTCATGGTCTGCAAAATCGTCACGTCTCCACTGCCATGCTTGACAGTTGATATGCTGTGTTTGCTTTTCTCTATACGTGGTGCTGTGAATTACGGTCAAACATCACTACTTTGCTCTTGGCTATCCATGAACATTGCTCCACACGTCTTGTGGTTTGTTCTGATATGGCTTTGAAAACCTAAGCTGTGCTGCCATGTTCTTTTTAAAGAGAAGAGACTGTGTACTCCATACTCGGTCATTTTCTAGTTGTACTGTCATGAACTTTAGAATTTAACATGCTAACTGAGGCCCGTAGAGTCTGAGATGTGGGTTGGGTAATTCACAGTTTCTCTGAGCGTTGCACGGGCTGTTCTTGGGGGTGGGAGGGTGGAGGTAGTGGGACACCTGAATGCTCCAGATGAACACTGGCTGATGATCAGTTCATCAAGTCCCTTTGATTAGCAGCACCTGGCTGCTACTTAACCTCATCATTTCTTTGAAAGGTGTAAGTGTGGACTTGGTTTTTTACAAGTTTGAATAAAGTTCTAATTTAAAGGATACGGTTTATTTCATCCTTGTTCCATATTCTGTTTTTGACATTCTCATTTGACATACTTGAACTTCTGAAAATTACTTTTCTTATAATCTAGCTAGCATTTGCTTCTGTTTTTACACCCGCATTAATTGTTATAACTTCCTGCTATTTTTCCTTCCCTTCAGTGTTCCTGATGTTTGTGGTGACACCACACCCGTGTGTGTCATGCGTAGTTTCATGCATGTATCTGTGTGTATGTGTGTGTTTCAGCCTGCCTCACAATCTTCAGAGTTACCTCAGTCCCAGCTACAGCCGCCTCAAGTTCTCTCATTCATAGAGAGGTAATACTTGCACGTACACACACACACACACAAAACACACACACACACAACACACACACACACACAACACACACACACACACACACACACACACAACACACACACACACACACACACACACAACACACACAGCTACATCTTTCCCCTAATCAAGGCAAATTTCTCTGAATGGCATTTAAGCTTTGTGACATCTTTCTCTCACTCAGTGCTCTTTTTAGGTCTTTCTCTCTTACTGTGTTTTGCTTATGTTGTACCTCAGTGGCCATTCTGAGACTTCAGGTTTGAGCGACGGCAACGAGGGAGGAGGAGGAGGTCGTCATGAAGGGCGCTCGGCCAAGCGACACCAGAGACGTTCTGTGCGAAGTCGATCACACCATGAGAAGACGACCAAGGCGAAACTCAATGTTCTCAATGTAATAGCGCACACCTGATAAGTCCTGTGAGGTCAAAATTAAAAACAGGCCCTGTTTTCTACTGCACCAAGTATCTATTTCATGGTTGTTAGAAATGTGTCACTTACAGTAAAGTTATTTATTTCCATTCATTATCTTTTCTTTCTGTGTATGTATTTCTTGATGTGCTTGCATGTAGATATCCAACCTTGGAGACAGGGTAGCGGAGTGTCAGCTGGAGACCCACAACAGGAAGATGGTGACCTTTAGGTTTGACTTGGATGGAGACAACCCTGAGGAAATTGCCCAGATCATGGTGCACACAATATCACACAACGACTCACATCCACTGTTTTTGATTCATTTCCACTTGCTCCAAATTATAGTTGTTCTAAAATTCTGTATATGAATTGAGTTCTGAAGGATTTCGTATAGTCTAAGTTCTGTTAACCAATTACTTTTGAGCAGACTGTGTGCATGTAAACAGCCCACGTGGAGAGCAAGTTTGTCATTAGCTTTTTTAATTAAATAAATGTAATTCTGACGTTGCAATCTAATTAAAAATGACTATAGTACTTTGTATGACCCGTCAGTGGAATTGTCTGTTTCAACAGCACACAGTTACCAGAGTGGATATTAAACAATATTTCCTCACAGCTGACCAGTTACTGCTTTTAATATGAGCAAATGTTGGCTCGTCAGCTTCAGCCATCCAACCTTCACGTTATACTGTCTGTAAATCCCTATTAATAGCTCTGTATTAAGGCTGGATTGTTTTTACGTGCCGGCGCGCCTGCTATCTGCTCTGCGTCATCCAAAACCACTGAAGTACATGCTCTAGTCCTTGCACTTTCATGGAGAGTTCTCATCAGACTCTCACACAATGCAAAACTACTCGTATGTTACCTCACACTCATGTAGGAAGAAGGCTTATATAAAGAAATATTGCTGTTTGTGACTGATTATATTGCAAATTCATAAGCGTGTGACTAAGCGTGACCTTTTCAACGTGCATGCAGGTCGAGAGTGAGTTTATCCTGGAGAGCGAGAGAGAGTCATTTATTGAACAGGTCAGAGAGGTGATAGAGAACGCTGATGAGAAGGGTCTGGAAAGAGATGCCAACAGCCAGACAAAGAAAACAGTGAGTCTTTATTTTATTCACTGCTGCTGCTATTGAATTTTTATAGCCTGTCTATGGTGTGTCTAAACTTACTGGTCATCTCTACCTTTGCCTCTAACAGACCAACTGTCATTGTTTAATGCATGCTCTCTTGTCGATCTGCAGATGGCAGGTGACACGCAACAGCAGAATCCTGCAATATCTGCCCCCATGCAAGGTAAAAAAAAAAAAAAAAAGACGAAAGAAAAAGCCTTAAAATAAAATAAATCCGAGACCAGGTTTATTGAGCGGCAAGGACCTTCAGATCTTCTGAATGGAGATCAATAAATACACTTTTGTAAACACCTTTTTTTTAAGCCTGAAAACCTGCAACAGAACATGTCATAACATATCCAGGCCGTGTCTCACTCTTCTGCCTTTTTTAGGCATCCCACCCAGTCCATCTGCACAAGTGGTCCACTCGGCAGGTCGGAGATTTATCGTCAGCCTTGTACCCGAGGCGAGGCTGAAGGAACAAATGCTTCCCACCTCTCCTTCTCTTGTGCCTCATGTTGAGACGGGTAAGGATTGTGTGCATTACCTGTAGAGATCGTGTGTTGCCTGAGTGGCCTTAATTGTCATTCTATCACATGAATTCACATGAAGTTGAATAAAAGAAACAGAAACATTCTAACTGTATTTTCTGACAGTGCTGATCTAATTTTCCCAAAATTGCCCAAATTTGTTGATTTTAGATATGTTTTTAACATGATTCTTAATTGATAAGGTGTAATATAGCTTACTATGTATGTGGTACACTGGCTGAAATTTCAAATTTAATGGCTCTGCACACTATGTAGGGTGTTCTAAATAATTTGGTTACAGTGACCTATAAATCGGTGTAATCTGGGTGGAGCTGGGAATTACATATAATCATGTGGTGGCTTAAAATAGTTTCCTTTTTCTCTTCCAGTTTCTCCACCTCCATCACAGACTCCAGGTCAAGGTTTGGGCTTGTCCCATTCTACAGGAGCAGTCAGCTTACACCAAGCATTCTCTGAACTCCGACAGAACCAAAATCAGCTTGATTCAGGGCCCAACACTGCCCCACCCTCCATTCACTCCACCCATCCTCCACTTCTGGAGCCTGCAGCAGCTTCTGTCCCTTCACAGAGTAGCACACTCACTCCCACTGTGGATGCCGCTGCTGGGCATGTCCCTTCTAATTTAAACACAACACAGGATGCCTCTCTTCCTCCTCTTTCTGTATCCTCGACCCCTTCCGCCATCCATCTCAGTCCTCCCTGTTCCTCTTCTCCTCCCCCTACAACAGTGAATCAAAGCATCCTTCAATCACAGGTACTTCCACAGCCAGTAACTCAGGCTGTCTCACAACCCCAGACACAGGTACAAGCACAGCCTCAGCCCCAGGCTTTCAGCCACCCTCAGTCCCAGACAGTTTCTTCTGTCAGTGCTGCTTCAGTACCTTCCACTTTACCAACAGTGGTTCCCCCTCAAATGCTCACCTCCCCTCCTCTAGCCCACACTATTCCTTTTGTGTCCTCCCCGCCCTCTTCATCTCTTATAGCCAGTGAAGTCTCCTCTGATCATTCATCAGTCTTGCCAACTCCTTCCCTGACCTCCTCAGTCATCCCCACCACTGCCATCCTAGGTCCCCAGCTCGCGCCCTCTGTTGTCTCCCTCCCTGCTCCTACTCCCTCATCGTCCGCTGGAGGAGTTCTGCCGGTGACCACAAATGTCCCCACAGTCCAACCAACTTTGGTGCACTCTCAGCCTCAGACAGCAGCCCTGCCTGGGCAGACGCACGCCCACAGTGACTGCGAGCCCAGGTGAGAGGTGGTCACTGTGTATTTATTTCTATTTGTGAACTGCTTTAAGCAGTCAGTCGCTTAACAAGGCAAAAAATAAAGTTAGTCTACCATCATATATATATATATATATTATATATTATATATCATAATATATATATATATCACATATATATATACATCACATATAGATATATATATATAATATATACTATATATAACATATATATATATCTATATTATATATATATATATATATATAATATATATATATATATAGTTATATATAATATACACTGTATATATATATATATATATATATATCATAAATTAACAAATACATTATATAACTAATATATAAATAATATATATATATATACACATATATATATATACATGTATGTATACTATATATAATATATTATCATATTTATATATAATATATAATATATATATATATATACATATATATTATATATATGTATTATATATATATATATAAGTATTATATATATATTATATATATATATTTATAATAATTATATATATATATATATAATTGATATATATATATATAGTTTATATATATATATATAGTTGTATATATATATATATAGTGTATATTATACATTATTTTATACATACAACATTTATATATATATATATAATACATACATGTATATATATAATTTATAATAAAATAATATATATATATATATATGTAGTGATATATAAATTGTATATATATATAAATATATATATATATAGTATATATACTTATTATATTATTCATGTATGTATATCATACATACATGTATGTTACATTCATGTATGTATTATACTACATGCATGTTACTATATATAATACATGTATGTATTATATATACATACATTATGTATATATATTATAATACATATGTATGTTATATTATTATACATATATGGTATATATTTTTAAATACGTGTATATATACATGGTCCAATTTTAGACTATATTTTGTGTGGAAAAGTTCTTGAATTCTTACTTACTTATTAACTTATTTACCCATAAATACTGATTATTTCTGAGACTTGTTGTCACCGATCTCCTTCAGATGTGAGCACTCCTCTGAGTCGCAGTGCAAACCAGACGACATCCAAGCTCTGGAAATGAAGCTGCGCTCTCTCTTCATGGACCTCGGAGGCGGGGTGCCTTCCACCCAGGGAGACATCGTAGCTGCTGATCTGGCTGCTGTGGCAGGTACCTCGTCACCAGTAGGACCTTGCTCCACCTCCACCACGTCTGTTGCAGTATCTGGCTCCAGCCAGTCAGCCATTCCTCCTCAACCCCCTTCCAGCCTGGCGCTGGGATCACTGGGATCCCCTGCTCCAATCCAGGGCCCTGGGACGCCTGTCTTCACCCCTGCACAGTCTAGTAGGAATATTTTAATCTTTTTTATTTAGTGGTGGTAAATCTTCTCTTCTTTTTATTTAATGTTGCTTTCTGCATTTTCTATAGTCATCCCTGTCTCATTAGGCCAGACCACTCCATCCAAAACGCCCTTATCCAGAGTACCGGTGAGTTGTATAATTCTAAACTTTTTCTAAAACTAAAGGTTTTTCGAGATGTAGTTCAATAATTTTTGTAGTATGAAGTGTCGTGTGGTCAGACAGCATGTGCATGTTAGCTAATTTTAACTACATATTTTTTTAATTGTTTGGAAGTCACAAATAATGTAGTTTTGGGAGATTTGCACAAGTTGCGATCAATGAAATACCAAAATCTTTTTTGATCGCACCTTGTATGTCTTCCACAGTTTTTCTCCCCAATTTCCTTAAAACTCATCTGGCATGGAAATTCCTTGTAACATTCTTAACCATAAACACTATTCTTGTTATCTCCTCTACAAATCTCTTCTCTTGTCTTTCTCATTTCTCCCACTCCCGTGCTTTCATCACTTCTCTTTCTCCGGGATTAGGCCAGTTCTCCTCCTTCAGAACTCCCGCCACCCTTCCCTGGACCTTGTGTAATACAGGTGTTCTTTTTTGGATCATTTTTTAAGACCGATGTGTCTGAAACAGTGCAACACTGTTTATAGACTGCTCAGTGTGTTTGTAATGTCTTTTTGCAATAGCTTCATCGGATTTAATTTGTGCTGTGCATAAGTTGTGCTTCTGCTTTTTTTCTGCCCTTTCTAAATTCTGCTAAAATGATTCATCTCTCTGAAACAGCAGCGTTATTACAGCCAATCTTGAAAAACTCTAAGATGAGACACTTAAAGGCCCAAAATAAAAAAGCTGCAGAGATGATACATCTGATACAAAGCCTACAAGGACAGTAAAACTTAAAAAAAGAAGAAATCTAATGAAATAATTACATTAAACAATTGAGTAATTTAACTTCAGTGTTACTTTAAAAAGAAGTCAAAGCACATAAATGCAGTGTCAGGTGGGTTGGTTGACAAATGAGATAAGGCAGGAGTCTCTGTGGACTACGATGTTCGCAGATGATGATGAGATGATCTTTTGTGAAAGTAGGGAGCAGGTAGATAAGAGCCTGAAGAGACGGAGGAATGTGCTGGAGAGAAAAAGAATGAATATCAGTACAAACGAGACAGAAGACGTGTGTGTGAATGAGAGGGAAACAGGTGGGAAGGTGAAGTTGCAAGGAGTATGTGTTTAATACATGGGGTCAACCATCCAGAAGAATAAACAGTGCACAACAGAGGGAAATAAGAGAGCGCAGGCAGGGTGGAAAAGGTGGAAATGAATGTAGGGAGAGAGGACAGAGGACACAAAGAGAGTTGGTGTGACTAAAGTGGATGCCAGGCGATCCATAATGGAAGCTGCTGAAAGAAGAAGACGAAAAAGTCTCTGTGGACTTTTAAGATAAAGACTGGGAAGCACATGGAGCACTGGTCAAAGAGAATGACCAAACAGATTAAAACAGTTTGCCAGACAAATGCAGCAGTGCGCAGTTTGAGCACCAATGACTTCAGGACAGACAGATAGTGAACTGATTTCAGTTGCCAGACCGTGAATGCTTCAGTTTAAAAATAGACTTTCCTTTCAACCAGACAAGCACATTGAATAAATAGAGAGATGTGACATCTAAAACAATCTGATCTGCCCGGATACAACATCCCGTCCCTTACGCAAGTCTCCTGGATGAGACATGTCTCGTTTGATTAAGATAATCCTGCTGTCGTTGAAGTTCACTTGGGATTTGTTTTTAATTCTTTATTTTGTAATTGTAGTTTAATTGCTCGAGACTGAATGGCTTTGCGCAGCTTGTGGATCACATTGTTCATTGGCGAAGGAGAGAAATCTGATTTTTTTTTTTTTTTTTTTTTGGTGAGGAACGGTGTTAAAAATGACAAATTTTAGACTTTAACTGGTCCTAATTTGTATGCTTTGCCAAGTTTTGAGGATGGTTAAAGCATCCAGTTGGACCAGAGGTTAGTTTGCATTTTTAGTCAGATGGTATAACTGGAAGTATTTTAATTACAGTTTGCTTGGAAACGTTCATTTAGACTAGAGGATTTTTTTAAAATAAACTTCAATGATATTGCACCCTATAAAACAGTGTTACAAAATCCTTGACAAAGAGAATGGAGCATGGTGTATATTCAGGTGGGCTATGAGATCACACACAAGGGTGATCCAGCTCATTGCATACCAGACGATGGCTCAGCTGACTCAGCTACACATCGGTAACATCATTGGGATGCAGTTTATACAGGCTGCACCATATAAACTGCTTCAGCCTTCCAAAGGTTGTAGTAAATCTGCAAACCGCTGCAAACCCTCTCCAGCAAACCTGCCCTTTTTAATGTTGTGTCTGACTTAATCAGTGTGCCGTATCTGTTGTCTGTTCCATATGGGAGGTTTTGCTGGTGCTCTCGTCATGTCCAACTTTCCGTGTATGAGTGCAAAGAAGCAGCAAGGTCCCAGAGTTGAGCTTTGCTTGGAAATATGAATTGCTGCTGATAGAAACAACAGTCTCCTTTTACTATTAGAATACCAGCTTACCTATATAAAACAAATATTCCATCCCTGAAAACAAAATTACCATAAAAGCAGAAAATAAAGACTAAAAAACATAATTGCACTGGAAAAAAAGTCCAAGATTGTGCATACATGAACGGTGATTACAAAGATGGCCTTGATTATGCAATTCTTAGTTTTCCAGGCAGTGAGCTGCAAAATAGAAGGAAGCCAAATGCGAACCAGATACTCAGCAAGAACCTGCCTGCAGATCTAAGACTGCAGTCTAACTCACAGCGGAGCAGCACTAAACAATTAATCAGTTTAGCTGAGCTTGGAGTTTGGTGTTGCTTTAATCCATAAAATCTTAAAATCAACTGAAATGTTTGATTCAGTTGGCTGATCTGTGCTTATGTTGCTAATCAACAGCTTTAGTAAAACCTGCGTGGCCAAGCCTGCCTCTTTTTGCACGGTTTTTGTTCTTGCATGGGCTAACAGTTTATCTGCCCACCTCTTCAGTCTCAGCAGCCTCTGGAGGACTTGGATGCCCAGTTAAGGAGAGCGTTGAGTCCAGAGACTGTTTCTGTGGGCGGTCAGGCCTCCCACATTAGTGTGGCTTCAGTTGGACAACCAGGTATGTTCGATTATACCCAAATCCTAATGTTATATTTTTGTATCTGTGTGATTTCTAAAGTATCCATCATATGTTCCTCAGTTCCTTTTCCAGTGGAGGAAGAAACTTTGTCCTCTCCTGTTCATCCCCCTCAAACTCAATTAGGACGATTTAAGGTAAAAGATCTTCAACACGAGACACCGCACATGAATACCGTCTGCATGTAAGACTAGCATAGTGAATATACGCTGGATCCCAACTGACAAGTAGGATCCAAGTGTTTCTGTGTCTCATAGCCTTCTTCCACGTTTCTCTTCGATGCTTAGGTCTCACGGGCTATCGAAGAGCCCGCTGTCCAGCGACCGGCCTGCACCGAGTCTTCCTCCACCACCTCCTCCACTTCATCTTCTTCATCATCCTCTACTCTCTCGAGCCCAGAGAACACATTGCACAAAAACTCCTCGTTGCCTCTGAAAGCGGAAGGAGCAGGAAAAACAGGAGACGTGGTGGACGGGCCCCCTCACAAGACTCCCGTTGGATCCCACCACCCCTCCCCTCTAACATCCCCTTGCCCCTCCCCCAAACCGCCCACCACCACCATAGGACGCTTTCAGGTAATCGTTCACTTTATTTTCTCTGCCGCCTCCTTTCCTTTTCGTCTTTTGTCCTTTTTCCCAGTTTTAATTCTCTCCCCTCCTCTTGTTGTTTTGTTCATATTTTCAATTTTTTAGGTTACTCCTAAACCCGAGGCCCGCGTTGGTAGATTCTCAGTCAGTCGTGCTGAGGAGCAGAGTCCTCCACCTGCTGCCAAAGCTGCTAATGGACCCAGCGATCCTGGCCAAGTTTTGACCCCAGATTCTACCCATAAAGCCTCTCTGCCGAGTCTAAACAACTCCTTCAATAACTCCTACATCAGCAGTGACAATGACTCGGAATTTGAGGATGAGGACTTCAAACGGGAAGTCACTCGCCTCAGAGAGAAGTGAGTTATCCCTTTCTCATTTTCTTAAAGTGGAAAATAGATTCACACGTCCATTCTTTGTTTTATTGTCCACCTTTGCTTCTTTAGTAAGGTTAATGGCTTTGATAAACTTGATTTTTCTCTCCTTCTCGTGCGCTTTTCTTCTCCTCCTTTTCCTTCCAAGAATGATTCCGTTCTTGTTACTTCTATATATCTTATTTTACTTTTCACCCACCAGGCACATGCGTGAGATTCAGGAACTTCAATCCCGCCAGAAGGAGGAAATAGACCGTCTGTTCACCAGGCTGGGAAAGGTAACCAGCGAGTAAAAAACAAAAAAACTGCAATTAAGGCAGCATCACAAAAAAACGGAATGTGAGAATTCTTTCTTTTGGCGTTGTAGGTTCCTCCGCCTTCAGCGATCCCTCCTGTTTTGACCTTGACTGGCAGGAGGAGACGGCCCACCAAAAGCAAGTCATCGAAATCGTCCAGAACCAGCAGCAAGAGTCCATTACAGCCAGGTAGGCTTTGGTGAAAAGATGAACACATGTAAAGGCTCAGTTCATTCAAAAAACTATTTCCTTCCCACACACATGTGAAAATAGTTAGTTTCTATTAACAAAATGGACAAACTTGAAAATACTGACACTACTAGAGCATGAAAAGGTGTTCTTCTAATTTGGTTGAACTGACCCTGAACGACCTTAATCTTGAACCCTAAGCCCACTACAGCCAGGACGGTTCAAAAACCTTTCGCTAACATTGCATCCTCTCTGTGTTTATGCATCCATGTGCACATGTATGTATGTGTGTTTATCTGCTTGTGTACACCTGCACGTGGGATCAGGCTCGGAGCTTGAACATTTCTGACTGCTTTCTCCGTCTGTTTTTCTCTGTGTGGTTTTGTGTGGGGGCGTGTCTCTGTAAATGTCTGGGTAAATGGGTCTCTTTAACTATCCATTACCTTTGTGTTTGTGTGTTTGTGCGTGTCTCTCTGCTTTCTGCGATTGGTCCTGGCCTGCTCCTTCCTCCTGCCCATGCCTTCTGCTATCTTCAGGCAGCACTTTATCCGCCCAGAGCGTCCCGACTATGTACCCCGGCCAGCTGGCTCTGCTAGCCCCAGGAGGATTAGCCGATTCGAACAGCAGCACTCTGCTCCAGCCCCTCAAACCCTCTCCCTCCAGTGACAACCTGTGTTCAGCCTACACCAGCGAGGCGGCGCTCTCTGTGCCCAGCCTGTGTGCTCCCACCCCAGGTATGCATCCGCTGAGAGTCCCGGGCCTCGTTGCATCTCCACAGCATTAAAAGTTCACACAAACAGCTTATTGGATGCTTCGCATGCAGATTAAGACAAATGCATGCTGTTGGTTTGTCTTCGCTCACTCACAACAAGATCTCCCATCTCTTTCTGTTGTTCTTTGTTGAGAAAAAAAAAACCCGTGAGGGCTAACTCTGTGTCCTTTCTGTGTATTCTTCAACCGTGTCTCTTTTCATCTTTTCCTTCTCTTCCTTCTTCTTATTGTGTCTTTTCTCAATTTTCTCTCTCCGGTTTTATCGCTCTCCTTTCTTCTCATTTCTCCTCCCCTTCACCTCTCTCTTCTCCGTACTTTCCTCATCTCCTCTCTCCTCCCCTTCTTTCCCTCCTCCCTCTCTTCAGGCTGTGTAAAGTTCAGCTGGGGTTCGGAGCGTTTGGCCTTCAAGCCTGGCGGCAGGAGGACGCGCTTTCTGAGTACGCCCTGCTTGGCTCTTTGTGTGTAACGCTCTATTTCTTTGCTCTTCTCTTTTATCTTTACTTACTTTTGTTTAATTTTCCCCCCCCATATATCCGTCGAGTCACAGTCATCCTCTCCTGTGGGTTTTCTTCTTTGGTGGAGGAAGACCCGCTCCTTCTGATATCATCAGTGCTCTGCAGAAATCTGTTAAATTTACAAAAAAAACCACGCAAAGTCAGTTGAGTAGACATGAACATCAAACTTTGTGATTTCAGAAGTTGAAACCTGAGTATTTTAGTTAAACAGAGAAGCAGAAACAACGTTTTTACCTTAAAAAAGGTTGTAGGTGCATAAAAAAAGTAAACAATATAAGATCTTACTGCAGGACGCAAAATGTTCAGACAGTGATAGTTCTTCACACCCAGATCTTGCGGCAGTCATCTTTACATACTATTTCTTCATTTGTAATCTTGTTTCTTTCTTTGTCTTCCTTGCCAAAAATGTTATTTTTTTTAACTTCCTTGCGCCCTTTTGGCTATAGTAAATAAGAATCGTTTTACTATAATAAGGTCAAAATGACTGAAAATGACAGAAAGTTTCTCACTGTCTGAAGATGCAGTGTGAAGGCCCTGAAATGATCAAAAGAGACACTGAGTTAGTGACACTGAGGCTTTTTTCATTTTTAAACAAGCCCATGTCTCTAATCAAAAATCAGGTACTGTGGCTCTGGGTCATAAAAATCTAAAAATCCAATGAATCAGAAATTGACAGCATTAGCAGGGAACTAAGTTTCATTAGACAGCTCCTGGTCAAAGCCCTTATCAGTCCTGCTTGATTGATGACAATATGTTGCAGATTAATACCGCAGAAATCAATTTTAGAGCTACTTCTAGCTTCTACTGCCGCTGCTCCGTCGCAAATACAGCAGAAGAGCCGATTGACCAAACATATCTATGCTGTTGCGATAAAGTTTGCTGCATGATAGTAGTTGGTTAGTTTTTCCGAGAATTTAGGAGGAAAAACTTAAGGATGACGGCTTCATTTGAATTTGACCCTTTAAAGTCAAGTGTATCATATTTGATACATGTTTACAAGTTTTTGTCAGTTTTTGAGTCTTCTAGATCATCAGTGTGATGATGTAGAAATAAACTGCATGATTAACTTTGAAGGATGATGTAGCAAATATGATACGAATTAAAACTCATAATTTATACATCGTTTAATTCCCTCACAAAGTTCACTAAACACTTCATTTTCACAAAGTTTGAATTTTCTGGCGATTATTTCGTGATTCGGGCTTTAAAGGGAAAGCTAGTGAATACAGCAGCTAAACATGGATTTTATAAGCAGCTGGAGAATCCTGTACATTTATACTTAACCCTGTAACTAACGTTCTTTGTGACGTTATTCAAGCTCAAATAAGCTTCTATCCTAACAATAATCATTACAAACATTCTCCCTCTGATCGATTTCATCTTCGGTTCTAATAAATTAGAGACAGATGAGGCCGTTTTGTTTGTCTGCTGGTATTAATTTCAAATCCTGACTGCTTCCATTTCTAACCCTTATTTCCAAGTAGCGAAGGACGGACATGTTGATTATTTTAGCTTTTCTTTCATGCGTTTTGAATTTTTTTTAAATAAGCAGTTTGTTTTTACATCAATTAAGCACACTTCAAAGCTTTGATTTCTATTTTACTCTTAATAAAGTGTTTCTATTAAACCTTAATCTGTAATGCTCAAATGTTTTGTGCTTAAGGGATGTTTCTGAATGCTTCTGAACCCTCTGCAGCTCAAACCCTGTCTCTCCCTTCCTTCTTTCCTTTCCTCACTCGGTGTCCTCACCGCCCGCTCAGCCGTCCCCATGTCGCTGCATCAGCAGGAGTGGAGAGAGGCATACCTGGGTCTTAGTGGACTCGAGTTATTCTTGTTCCTTAACATAGTTTTAAAAAGTCTTGAATTGGATTCAAATTCTTTCTTATAATCAGGGTGTGATTTTATGCGTCCCTCTCATTTTTATCGCTGCACTTTGAAACAGTCTGCAGCACAAACTTCAGTCTAATGGGGAGCTGATTTCACTTTCAGTGCTTGCAGTCTTTTTAAGTAGAAATTTCACTGCATGGGGCGGGCTTTTCATTGAGCCAAAAAGCACCGCATGTTCGTTCATCTTGTTGAACTGCAGCTATGCATGGGGCCGCTGTCTGAGACATCCTGCAGACGTTACTCACATGCGGTGGTGCAGCTGCTATGATAGGCTGACAGAAAGTGGTAGGTGCACTCCTGTGTAAAAAGAGCCGCTCTAAGTCAGTCATTAAAGCAGGCTGTTGTCTAAGTTTGAGACGTAGGATTGTACTGCAGCAGAATATTTATTCAGCCTAACAATTCTTTAAACTGACAGTAATCTTTTAGCTTATTTCATATTAAATAGTGACGTTGATGCACAGATGGATTTGAGTCTTGCTTGTGTCATTAGGATTGATTGGATTGTGACTAAAAGCACAAACATGATGCTGAGAATTTTCACATTAATTTAAAACCAGAATCCTTTTTTGCACAAATCCCACCCTGTTTATAAAAGTCTGAAAATCAAAGTCGATTACAATATTTGACCCAGGTGTGGTAAGGCCCTGTGAGCTGCAGAGAGTATCAGAATCACATGTGAAACCAGGTTTTGGTTTGCCCATAAGCATCTTAAAGCCACAGTACACATTTATGGCACATGTGGCTGTGTGCAAAGGCAAATCTGAAATTTGATATTGTTATTAAATTGAAAGTAAAGCAATGTCAAGAGCTTTGGTTAAATAATATGTTCACCTCTGGGCTAAAAGTAACTGTCGACTGAGGTCTGCATATCTGCAGAAAATTGTCTGTGTATCTTACCATTGTCAGAAAATGCTTTACTCATTTGTGTGGTTGTACATTAAATAATAATAATAATAATATTAATCAGGGGCAAAGTCTCCTCCACTATTTGCTTTGTGTTTCTGGGGACATGTTACATTGTGTGACAGGTTTTTAAGATGTTCCTGGGCAGCTCAACACCAAAGTCTTGTTTGTTTCAAGGTCACATTATTATGCTTATACCTGTCACAATGTGCATTGTGTTTGGTTGTTGTGTGTTGTGGGCGGGGCTTAACTCTGACTCTCTCCCGATCCCTCCAATTGTTGTCTTCCGGCCGCACAGGGAAGATGGTGAAAAAAGTCTGCCCCTGCAACCAGCTCTGTAGTAACTATCTCTCTTTTTGGTCTTTCCTCCCTCCCTCCATCCATACCAACTCCTCCATCCTTGCACTTGCTCTCCCACGCTTCCTCCCGCCTTCTGACGCCCTGTCGGTTACAGCTCCGACCCTCTGCCAGATTTGAGATCCGTTAACTTCAGTTATTTCAGCTAAGACGAGCTTTGCAGTTTCGATGATGGCGTTTCAGGGAAAGTCCAGTTTGAGGGCTGAAATAACTGAAGTGTGTAGCCTTAACAGATCTAAACTGACAGCGCATGCACCTGCAAGCTCTCCCTCTCTCTCACACACACATAAAATGTGCCAAACACTAACACATACAAGCTGCCCCTCCCGTTCCTCTCAGCCTTCACCATGGCTTTTGGCTTGGACTACATAGACCAGAATCCCATGCTGCTGCAGTCGTTCATGACTCAGCGTCTCCTCATTCTTATTTTCCTCCATTTTGTTTAGCATGACATGACAGTTTATTTCTATTTATTGATTTATTTATTTTTGTCAGACCAACTGTATAATCCTTGACAATCCTTGCATATTCTGCCTGTTCTCATTTAATATCTGATATGAACAAATCATGTCAATATTTAACGCCCATGCTCATTCTGCTGGCATGGCTTTGGGATGATCTTGTATGCAAAGGAAGTGCATCAGCTTCGTGTGATTATAAGGGTAATGTGCAGTTATGGGGATGTTTAAAACATAAGAAAACATGATCTATCTGCAGTATGTGTATATGCTTTACATATCTTTATGGTTTTCCTCGTAGCATTTATAAATGAATCTTTATCTTCTCTTCCACAGACCTAAATTATTTATAAAAATTGCATATTTACAAAAGATAAACCTGTATTCTCAAAGACTTGTCTGCAGTATAAGGGATCCAGAATTAAGTTGTTTGAAGCAGCAGAGTGTGCAGTGTCTTGTAGCAAAGAGCTTATTTCACTGGCCAGTGTTTGGTGGTTTCCTATTGGACCGATAGACCAGCCCTGTCATTACCCCATCATTGAGCACGGTATGGGGAACACACAGATGCCAAAAAGCCAGCCTGCAGTGTGTGCTTTTTTTTGGAGTTTAGTCTGCATTAAGTTTGGTAGTGGGTGGGGGAAAAAAAACACATAATACTTCCTGATACAGAGCTTGAGCACCATCTAGTGTCTGGGAAATATATTCGGAGTTAAGAGGTGCACCGGGTCACTGCAGGGGCATTTTGAATGCTCTACAGGCTGTCCAGTGTGATCTGATTCCTTGTTATAAATAAGATATATATACTATAAAGGGTTCAGCATTTATCCTAACTGCCAAAGTGCCCTTCCTCTGCTATCATAAGTTGTCTCTTATTCCTGTTTATCATCATGATCTCCATCATTAAAACTAAACAATGCAGTTCTGTGACCATGTCGACATGCTCAGCTGCCCTAAACCTTCTGACCTGACCAACCTCTGTCTGCCCTTTGTGGTTAAGACAGAGCCGCCTGCCGCCAATCACAATCATCCAGATAACATCAGCTTTGCCTCACCTTTTAAACATTATCTCACACTATTTGCTCTTTTCCCTCCTCCCTTGTGTCTGTCTTGACTCTCAGGGACTAATAGCACCAATGCAGTGAGCGGTTCAGGTGGTTTGGGTCAAAGCCAAGGGGGTTCTCAGTGTCTGGCCCCCAACATGCCAGCCCCACACCAGAGGAAAGGAACCTTCACCGATGACCTTCATAAACTGGTGGACAACTGGGCCAGAGATGCCATGAACCTCTCACAGGTTTAGTGCTGTTTTTGAATGTATATTTTAAAACACAGCAAGAGTTTTCATATCAAAGAAAAATATATTTTATCAGTGACTCAGCAGGTCCCATAGTTAGTTCACTAGATATGAAGACAGAGAGGAAAGAGCTTAAACTCTAAAACCTCCTTTTTAGAAATGCAAATGTGTTTGATCTGTTGAAGAAACCTGATCCAAGGCCTTTTGGATGTATACAAAAAGTGTTAGCCATAACTTTGTGCCTTGCAGTGTTAATCTTAAGAGAAAGGTCATGAACATGACAAATATTTTTTTCTGTTATCAGTGGACATGGAAGCAGTTTTTTGTGATTAATTATATATTACATCATTATGTTTGCACAGTAAATTAAATATTGAACTTTTTCAGGGTAAGAGGAGTGCCAAACAGCTGCAGCAGGCTCCGGTGCAGGGACACAGCTATGAGGTTAATATTAAAAAACACCACATCGCATCATTTCTGCACTAAACTCTTAGAAAAAACACAAAAAGCTGTTTGATCCCTGCCTGCTTTACTACATCCAGATTTCTGGATGATGTGCTATTGTATTCCCTTAACAACTGATCTTTTGGTGTTTAATTAAAATGCATTATTTTGCATCATGTGCCATTTAAAAACACAGTAAAATTTACAAGTTATTATATTACAATGTGATATTGATTTTTCAAATTGATACTTTTTACTTTTCAGACATGCAAATTCCCAAAAAAAATGTTTTGGTTATTTAATTATTAAATTCCACCTGACATGAAGCGAATCTGCTGTGTTGGTGGTGCAGAGAATAACCCAGTTTGTTTAGCTAAGATAAATGTCGCATGGCTGTATTTTTGGGTTGTTTTTTTTAACTTACATTTTAAGCAGGCTTGGTTAATAATTAATTTTAACTCCTTGAAAGACATCTTTACCTAGCACAGGGAACTAGAATCAAATTATTTAAGAGAAAAATGCTTAATTTTGAATTTTGAGTGACATTTCTCCTCCCCTGCAGGTTATCCAGTCAGCCAGTCTGGGCAGGAAGTACTCCGCTCCCAGCCAGCTGTGTCCCAGCAGCATAGGTGGTTCAGCCCACATCCCAACAAACTCCAGCACCGCTACCTCTCTGGCTGCCCGAAAGGGCTCTTTATGCCACCCTCCTGCCTCCTCCACTCCACCCCAACCCCAGCTTCCCCAGTTCATCCACTACACCCCAACTGCTGCCTATAGTGCACAATGGTCTGGTCCGGCTCACAGCCTGTCCACCCCACACCAAGCACCAACACAGCCTCTGCTGGTCAGTACCTCCCAACCCCTGGGCCCCTACCCCACGCCACAGGGACAGATTCCAGGCCAGGGGCCACTCCAAGCTTTCCATGTGACCAATACCCTGCAGAAATCAGTCAGTAACCCGGGAGGACCCAACTTGAGGACCACGTAGGGCTCAGAGTCGGGGCCGGTTTAAATCACGGCCTGAGAGGACTGGTGTGAAGTGGAGTGTTCATCGCTGGATTGACTAGAAAGTGTGATTGATTTTATTTCTTTTGTTGGGAGAGGGGGGGTTGAGACGGGGGTAGGCATGCGTGTGCATGAGAAGCCACTTCAGGCTGCACTTCAGAGAAAAGCAGTGCAGCCTTTCTGCTGTGGGCTTGTAGCAAAAGAAAAAGACTCAGAGTACAATGATAAAAGGCCAAAGAGGTTCTGACAGGGTGTGTGGGCTTGCTGTCAATAACTGTCTGCATTTTTGCTCTAATGGCTGGTTTACACTTGTTGGATTTCACGCTCTGACATGAGTTAACATATCTTTACATAATATGGGTTAGTGAGCCGTGCTTACTAGACAGAGGACATTGCATCAGGCTCAGGAGGAGGAAGAATGTGGTAGCCAGCTTTTACAAAATCCAACTTGAGCCTTTGTGTCCGTGCAGTACCTTCTCATCAATTCCTGCTGGTACTGATTTTAAGGCCTCTGCTATCCATGTTTATCAGTCTCTGCTAGAAATCCCAACAAAAAAACTTGCAAATATGCATTTCTTCCATTGGGGGTGAGCATTGCTAGTCCTCACATTAACCGATATTGTTGTTTAGTGTTAGGAATCAAAATCATCAGTGTTTCTGGCAGCAGTTAGCATCCTTAAATCAAAGGATTACAGGAGGAGATGCAAATGGCAGCAGATAGAAGGGTGAGGTGAGAGCAGAAGACGAGTCCGCATAACTCTAATCGAATGTTTCAGGAAGTCGTTTGGAAGTTGGAGAGCCTTCCTAACCTTTAAAAGCACAAAGCGAGTCAAGATTAAATCAAATACATATCGAGACTAGATGTAGCCCAGCATCTCCGCCGTCTTCTTCTCCCCCTCCCCACCGCTCAGTGTGGCAAAGTATTCAAGCAGGTAGAGAGAGATGGAAGTGGGAAAGCCCTCCATCAGCTTCCTGTTTCAGCTCACTTCATGTCGATGGGGGTCCCAAACGGGCAGAACAGATGCTTCACGACTTCTTTCGTCCCTCTCTCTTCACCTCCCTGTTGCAATTTGAAGCAATAACAGCAGAAACCTTTTAGAAGAGGACAAAAAAAGCCCGAACACAAGAGAACTCGGTGTGTAAAAGTGACCTTGTTATCAAGATAATATCCATGTATAGTTCGTGTCTGTTTTTTCGAATGTCTGCTATGATGATTCCATTTTTTTGTGTGTGTCGTCGGGTTGGTTCCCTTGTTGCCCCCTGCCCCACCCACATACCGCCACCCCAGCTAGCAATCTGACGCATACACATTCACACACCCATGCAACTCTTATGACATTCATATAAATACACAAAGCCGCATACAGTCATTCACAGACTCATGTAAATACACTCACGCATAGTTGGAGGTGTAGCAGCTGTCAGACTCATGGGCCGTGCCTCAGTTCTTAGTGTCATAATTAGGTCGTTTTCAATATCTGGGTTGAAATGCAATGTACATTATTGTCATAATTATTGTTGTTAATGATTGTTCTATTTAAAAAGAAACAAAAAACAAAACCGTGTTCTGTCAATGGACCTGTTATATGTGCACATCGCTGTATGATGTGGAGACACTGTGATTATTGTTGTTTGTTATTAGCAAATGTTGTTGGACAACATTAGTTTTAGGGTGAATTTAAAAACAAAAAAAAAAGCATATTTAGAATAGTTTTTCGGGGTCCTTTCGCTTTCAATTCACAGCTTTCCACAAATGAATTTTTGGAGATCGGTAACCCCTCTCTCTCTTTCTCTTTTTTTCCAATAAGCGTCCTTCTGTCAGTTTACTGAGGACACACTTCCAAACCAATGCCTTACCAACAACTAATCAATCCATTTTTTCAGGTCATCTCTATAAACTGGGTGAATTGAAAGCCGAAACGGACCTGAGTATAAAGACAAACCGGCGTGAACGCCAGGATAGTCGATATTTAGATAATAAAGTAAAGCTAGCTATTTTTTTCTTAATACAGTACTTGTCTATCAGACACTTTAAATAGCCCTCCTCTTCCCTTTCTCCCCTGGTTTTGTTAGATGAATGTGAATGTATAAAAACCAATGGTGTCCATTTTTAATGTACTTGGAAAAAAAAAACCCTGTCTTTTATTTTCGCTTGTCTTCGCTCCCCCTGACCCCTCTAGAGCCTCTAGTGATGGCTGGAGGTATTAAACTAGTGCCTTGCTTCCTTCCTGTTGCTTCTCCATTGGAGGTTAAAGTGAGCACATTGGACAGAATGTGTGGAGGATATAAGGTTGTTGCTGTGAAGTTTAGCGGATGAGGCCTGCAGTGTATATGTGCGCGCACGTTTAGGCCGGCTTGTGATGATTCCTCCTGAGTGTATTTTCTGCAAAATGGGGAAATTTGGAGTGAAATGCTCTGCTGCCGTTTGAACGAAGGTTGAGATTGACGTCCAGAGACGGAGAAAGGCAACCGTTTGTTATCAGTGTTGTTTCTATTGCTGTATATATATTTTTTTTCTTCAGTTTTAAGGAGGGAGTTTATTGAAGATTGTATTCGAAGCTTGGACCACTCTGTACTTTGACCCGAGTGCAGCATACTTGCGGGGAGAGCATGCCGTGGTACAGTGACATAATGTTCTTTTTAACGTGAGATCAGCTGATATTAAAGACTCGTTTTAGCTTTCTGTCAGGATTTGAAACTCTGAGACCATCAGAGCTAACCAGGAATGTGATATAGGCCATGATGTCGCGCTCTACTGTCAGAATAATTTGGGTTTACTGAAATATTGTGAGAAGTGCAGGCTAATGGCCCTGTTTAGGTATGTCTGAAATCTGTTTATACTTGGCGTTAAAATGTATCTGGAGGGATCAGATCACATGTGGATGTGGCACTAAATATAAAAAGGACCACCAAGGCACACTGTGATAGGCTGAGGTAGTCTGCAGTGCATCAGGCCACTTCTTTTGAAGTGTAAATATCGTTGTGCCCTGATGCATTCCCCTCAAGGACTTCAGAGGAAAGCATGTCACCAGTGCAAGATGTACAGTATAGGTCCTTTTTCCTATTGTTCTGCCTTCTTTGCAAGTCACAAATGAATTATCTGTGTTTGTTTGCTAGCCTTTAACTATCTAGCAAAAGTCACATATACAGGAAGTAGCCAAGCAGTCAGCTGGACACTTTCAGACACGGTAAACAACAGCTGTAATCTTGTGATCCGGTCATGCATTAGATGCATTAGTCAAACCGAGTCTAAAGAAGGTTCGGTATATCTAAATAAGCAGCAACCTAACACTTGAAAATGCAACTTTAAAAAAATGTAGCCAAAAAAGTGTTTGGTGCATATAGATACTCTGTGACATCAACTTTTTCTGATACATTTTAAACTAGTTGGAAGTAACTAGCTGGAAGAAAGAAAGATAAAGAAAAACAAGGCAGTACTTTGTCAGGACCCATAAAAATTCTGCAAAAATATTAACGAGGCAGCACAGTTGTCAGCTGTCTTTACAGAAATTGAAAAACCAACAAATAAAAGTCAGCTTTAACGAGTTTTTGAGTGAAGGTATGACAGAGATGATGGCAGTCATGATGATTGATGGATTTAAGGGAGTACGTGCAAGGCCTCTGGCACCCTCTACTGTTTTTTTGTTTTGTTTTTTTAACCTGTAACACAAATTAAACATTTGGTACAAACTTCAAAGCTTTGCATCTTTCCATTGCTTTTTGCCAGATTGTGTGTAAGTTACTTTGTAAAGTTTGTGCAAAAGAGCATAGATCTTTTTTCGTTATATTCCTCGAGAAAAATAACGCGACATTTTTTACTACTTGGCAAGTTTGGTTGAAGCTGTGAATAGTCATTGAGCCACTTTGCTTCTGAGTTCTCAATATAAGCATTCTGTCAGACCTTTAATGATGCCACAAACTCAGTGCCATTTGATTTTTTGTTTTTGTCAGTGGCGGAAAAAAAGTGGCGTAGTTACCTGCTTTAATTCACTGGAGCTGTGCCAGGTATCATCCTGGATCTGCACTTTGCAGCTGCAGATTTGAGGTTTGGTCATATTTTACTGTCTCTCTGTTACGCAATGATTACAATAAAAGGAATACCTGCTGCGCTGCAATGCCCTTGCATGCAGTATTAAAACTGTCACTTTAATAATATCAATATCAAACTGAGATTACAGTAGGTTTTGACGGCTATGCCCCTGCTGGAAGTGGGTGCAGTTATTGTGAAGTTTTGGAGTTGTCGTGGAGGAATTTTACTGTGAAAGGCTCGAAAGTTTTCCAGCACAGGCACTCTTATTGTGAAGTTTCCTCGAGTTAAAGTGGAAAAGTAGGATTGTGTGTTTCAGCTGAGGCGTGCACGGTGTAGCAATAGTTTGAACTCGCTTGCATTAGAATCAGTTTCCTGTTGATGTGTTTTCCAGTTTTCGCCTCTTCAGGACTCGCTTACCCTTTACGCTTTTCACTGTAGAAGTGCCCACATGTAAAAAAAAAACAAACAAAAGAGAGAGAAAAACAACAATAAAAGAGATTCTGCCTTTCAGCACACACACACACAAAGCCACAGTCACAGATACATGCAACTCCTCGCTGTTTTATGTAGCTTGCTCCTGTGAAATGATGTGTTGAAAACAGCAACAGTTTCTGTGAGCGTTGCTGAAAATATGTCGATTTTGTTTCTTGTCTCTCTCCACTCTCACATTTTGTTTTTTTGAATTCTCACTGTGCCGTTTTACTGTCTCTACCAGCTCCTAATTTAATTCATTGCTTTCCTTTTTCTGTATCGTGGTTGATGTTGTTCAAACATGGTCGGATTTTAAGTAAACAAATATGAAAGAATGAAAGAGAATAACAATAAATAAATAAATACATGTAAGGAGTCATCGACAGCCTTTAATGGTATGTTTTGCACTAAGTATAGAGTGTTCAAGCTTCTTATTAAAAACAAAACTTTGCGCTTTGCGCTACAATACAATAAATTTGTTACTTTATTTGTAAAAACTTAATAAATAAAAGTTGTTTAAATGAATCTGAGTGGGGGTTTTGTGTATTATTTGGGTTGTTATGGCTTAAATAGTTTTTCTCTGCCGACTCAAACCTTTTAAGTCTGGATGAATCACTCCATTATAATTATACATTCAATAAGAATGTATTCTTAACCTTCCGCTGAGAGCATTTCTGGTGATGCTGCTACCTCTCATGTCCTGTCTCAGGTCTTTGCTGGACTTTTTTCCTATTTCTTAAGACATGACTTTCAGATACTTTTCATCTGAAGTATTTTTGTTTTTCTGGGGGGTTTTTTGGCCCCGCCACTTTTTCTTTTGTCCTCCCACTTGTCCAGTTTTTTAAGGCAACACAAGTTTTCGGCTAACAGCTCTTTGGGAATCACCTTGGTGGTGCAAAAATGCTATTTTTATTCCTGCCCAACTGCATTATCTTTGACATTTTTCACATATTCAACTAAAGAAACAGGAATGATGTGTTTTGCACATCTGTGCAACAACACAAAATGCTTAAGGATATAATTTACAATCGATTCTTTGCTAAGTTGTCTGATATGTGTAGAAACGGTACCGATTTAGGTTCTTTTTTTTAAATGTTTGAGTGATTCATGGGTCGAGGAGTAAGGTGTAAAGAATGGACTAAAAATGAGTGAAAAGCAGACAAATGTCTTAAGAAAAACTTTGAAAGGCCTCAAGAAAACCTTGAGAACTATTGCTCAAAAGGACTTTGAAAATGCAAGAAAGTCTGACTCGTTGTAAGAAAATTACAAAGCAATGAGAGGTGGCTTAAAGAAAAGTAAGTGTGCCGATGTGGATGCTTGCAGCGACTGCTGTATAGAGACCATCCTGCTACACATGAAACACATCAGAGTCATAATTGTTATTTTAGTCACGTGTTTGTTTATTATCCTTATTGTTTTATCTGGGACTGTTTGCAGACATGTCAGAGAGAGGAGACACCAGCATCTGAACAGAGACTCAAACCAGCAACCTGCAGCTCCCTGCTTGGCTGCTCCAGTTTTCTCCTCACTCATGTTGCCCACCAGTGATTTCTAGCTGCCCACCCACACAGCAGGTTAGAATATGTGCTGAGCCTCAGCACCCAATACTTGGACATGTTTTCTTTATTAAATAATGAACCAGACCCCAAAAAGTAAACAGCTTTCATTGCTAGGCAATGGGAGCAGCATTTGGCGATGCAGCACCTGACGTTCCTGACCTTGTGGGCGGAGCATGCATGGAATTGAATGTTTAGTAGAACTGTGCAACACAAGCACTTAGTTACAGCATTTTCCATTTTATCCAGACACAGCTAGAGAGACATCTACAGCAGCATCTCTGTGCAGGACAAACGACAGTTGACAAAGAAAACATCGAAAACTTCACTTCACTACAATACGTTGGTTCCTTTGTTTAAAAGGCCAAAATGAATCGAGAGAGAACGAGAAGAGGATCGGCAAGTGCTTCACCATACAATACAGTACAGCTGATTAACCTGCAAGAAGAATTTCAAATGATACAGGCTGAAAATGTCAAATTAAAAGAAGAGGCAGAGAAATCAAGAGGAGAAGCTCCAAATTCAAAGTTTGAAACTGAAGTAGTATTGCAGGAATTACAGCATGTGGGTCTAAAACTTAATGTTGAATTGTCTGCTCTAACTGCTCTATCCCATGTTGTTGCAGTATATTAATGGCTTACATTGTACTGTGGATGGATTGTCTCAGTTGTTCTCCTGACTGAAGTTTACAGTCCATTTAATGCATAAAGCCATTAACTTGGTAAGAGAGTCGGGGAGATCTCGCATAATGAGTTCATCTTTCACCTCTTCATGAACATTGTGTCACAGTCTGGCGAGGGAAGACTGTAGGGGTTGACAAAAAGATCCAAAACGCAGACTCCAAGGAACAGGGAACAGAACTTGAAATGTTAACAAAAGGCGAGCCGTTTAATATGGCTGGTAGAAAAGGTACAAACAAAGGGCAAGGCAAACTGAAGCAAAATTAACACAAACCTAAACTGGGGAGTCTTTTGTCTCTTCGAGGACTCTGGGAGGTAGCAAGGGAGTGTGAACCTTAAGGTGTGAAACAGCTGTGTACTGCCTTTTGTTCCTGGAGAAGGTATT